AGAACGAGATCATGAGGTTGTTATGCAATACCTTAGGCTTCAGACTGGAAGCCGTCACTAGGCTCTTGCCTAACAACTCGCTGCTCTGAACCGAGAACCGGAGCGTCATTGCGGAAGCCATGGCTGGATCAACTGAAAGAAGGAAATAATAGTTGGAGGAGCTTGAAGCCGTAGCAGCCTACCAAGGTGGAGAATCGGAATCAGCAGGAATCAAGGAATTCGTAGGCCACAAAATGTGGGTATGCTGGAGGGATTCCAAACAGATGAATGGTTTGCCTGATTGGAAATGGAAGGTACCACTCGGTACAAATACAGTGCTGTAAAATACGTGCTGCATTTATCCCCGAATCTGGTAGAGGGGTTTTAGCGGGGCTGTTCCGGCTGCCATTCACGCTCTGGGGTTGACGAAAGGAGCCGCAATTGTGGGTAACCAGCTAGTATTTCAGGCCAATCACGCACGCTAACAGAGCGTGTACCATGATTTTGGATGACCTGGCACATCGTGGATCCCAGACGACTTTCGGCACCACGTGACGGCTGAGCGGAGTCTCCCAATTGGTTTAGGTTTTGGAGGGGCGCCACGAAGCTGGTCTACGTGGCTCCGAAGCTAAGTAGCCAAGTGTTTAACATTATTTTTCGAAGTTGACAAGTATGCGCTTCACAGACTCTTGGTATGAAGTGTAGCGCCCTATCATTCGTAACAAGAGGCTGTTATAGAGAACACGATTTCCATTTTCTGGGGCCATCCCGCTTCTTCGCGAACTGCAGCGACGGTTCGTGAATCCATCGTACAGTTCTCCCAAATCCACGTCTTTCGTGGGAAAAGCAAGCCAGCTGTCCAACGTTACGTGCTCCTGTGACCTGACAGGGGCGTCGGGTGTGTCACCAGCTATCCAGTCAAGTGTGTGGACGAGGATGTCGCACCAATCAATGTGTTCTTGGCTGCATGAAGTCCCTCGAGGAGTCTCTCTCGTGGAGTCGACGCTGTGACTTGGGTTATCTGTCACTTTCACAATTTCCAGTAGTATCCAATATCGACGCGTTCTCCTGCTGAGTAGGCATACTCATCGTCCAATTCAGACAAGTGAGACGATAGTTGGTTCCAATTTTCCGCCTGTCTCTCGTGCGACCAATCTATTCTCTCGGTTTCTCAATGGCAGCAGTAGCAGCAGCAGCGGTGGCAGCAGGAGCGATCGCCGCATCGTTGCCTTCACGTGCAGCAGTCAGGTCAATTCAAAAGACATCGTCAACCCGGCGATCCTTCGGCAGACTCGTGTCTACCGCGCTTCTCACAGCTCACAGCAGCCAATTGGCTTTCTTCAGCGGCTGCCAGATCAGCCATGCCTTGTCAGACCCTTCCAGTAGCAAGGCTCGCAGGCGATTCTCGGCTGCAGCTGGTGCCCGAGCGATGGGTCGCAGCGACACCAAGTCAATTGAGCAACTGGTGGAGCTGGTGAAGCAGAAGAACGGAGAACACCCTGTGGTTGTCTACTCCAAAACATGGTGCCCGTGAGTTCTTAAAGGGGAAATTGGGTTTGTTCTAGAAACGCGATTGGGAAAGATTTTCGTTTAGTCAAATTCAGAATGAAGCACTGGATAGAAGTTTTTAACAGCCTAAGCACTCCCATTGATGACCGCATGAAACTCTGCTGAGCACAGAGAACCACGTGGTTTCCGTTCAGAAGGCTAAGATTTTTTTTTTTTTTACTTCCATGTGCAACCCTCACAGCATCCTGCATCGTGAATTCCTGTGTCAATGCCTTGCTTCTTGATTGCTCCTGTAGATACTGCATGGACGTGAAACGGCTCCTTTCCAAGCTTCACACTAACATGCTGGTTGTGGAGCTGGATGAACTAGGTAAGTTGAGGCAAGGAAGAGTGTGGGACAGTGTCGCTATTGGTCGAATGAGCTGCGTCTGCTCTTCTTTGTTGGTTGGTTTTTTTTTACGAAGACACTGAACATGCTCTCGTTGGGTGCAGTGGAGGAGGACGAGCTTCAACAAGCTCTGTATGATCTCACAGGCCAGCGCACCGTTCCCAACGTCTTCATTGGTGGAAAGCACATTGGCGGCTGTGATGGTGAGCAGTACATGGTTTTACCTGTTGTGAAGCGTGTCAAGCTCCTCTGTCCTCTCACAGTTATAGCTATTCTGGTCTTTATTCACCATTTTCGTTGCCCCGTCACACCATTTGTCCTTTTGTGCAGCAACGGTGTCATTGCACATGCAGGGCAAGTTGGTTCCTCTGCTGGCTGAAGCAGGTGAGCGACCCCTCCACATTTTCTTGCGCACACTGATCCTCATAAAGCCGTAAACTGAACTGATCCTCATAAAGTCTGGTCTTTACCTTGCAGATGCCAAGGAGTAACTGACATGGGTGGATTATGGTGAACAAAATGAAGCATGATGTCAGGCTGTAATATATGTGCATGAATTGTCAGACTTTACACAAAGATACCTGGCTGGAGATGTACCGTACTTTAGGAGCAGCAGCCGCACATGCAAGAAAGCCAGTTGGGTTCAACTTTAGGAAGGTTCACGTACCAATAGCAGGTTATAGGTCGCTTCCTTCCATGGTGACGTTTGACGCCCATGCCACTGCTGCAGCATCTCTTCTTCTGAGCCCTTGGTGGTAGCAAGCTATGGTGGATCTAATAAGTGCGACAATCTGAATGATCTCTTGGAACAAGATAGTTATTACAACAAAGGCCCTGTTCGCCACGACCACGATATAGGCAAGGGGCGGGGGATGGGCGAGGGCTCCAGAAGGTGCGCAGGAAGATGCGAACTACGTCCGGGGGCTCGCCCCGAATGGAAATTTCTCCAATGGGATCCGGAAGGGGGCCAAGGGGATCTGGCACCTGCCCCCCCACCTTCGTTTAGGGCGGGAGTTTTTTTCCCGCCTCTGTGCCACAACCCCACAACAAAAGAAACAAATCAGCCCGGGTAAAAAGTGTCGAAAAAAGAAAAGGTCCTTCACAGTTGCGTCTAGGGTTCCGTGAACTTCTATCAGCCAGTTCACCACACAGCCAACCGACCTAGCGCGATCTGTGGGTGTTGAATGCCACTCGGGAGGGCTGAAATTTGTTTTTTTCGGGCCGGTTCTGGTGACCCGTTGGCGTTTACCCTGCACTCAAATCCCCCGGCCATCCCGTTAGGCGCCTACGAAATTGGTGGTCTGCACGAGGGAGAGTCGATGGAGGGGATGGGGTTCCGAGCTGGCAGGACAGGAAACTGCCAGGCGCATTCTGGATCCCCCGCCCATCCCTTCGATGGCCCAGAAAAGTGGGTGTTCGCCACGACAGCGAGCCCTCCGAGGTTCGGAGGGGATCGTCAGGCTCGACAGGATTTTGTCGGTCTGACCGGCCCTAAAACCCTGATTTCACCCCTTTTCGAAGGTGCAGGGCGGATTCCAGATCCCCCGCCCATCCCTCTGAAGGCCCAGCAAAGGCGTGGCGAACAGGGCCAAAGTGTATTGGTACTCACCTGTAAACCCTTTCTCACCAGCTTTCTCACCGGGGAGATTGCCGTTGTTGCCTGCGCTGCCCGCTTTTCGTCAGAATCTCGCCAAGCTCAATGTGCGTTTATGCCTGACCAATCAGTACTCAAGTCAGACAGGACGACCAATCGGCTCCTTCGATTTGAACCGAAACACTTCGCAAGCAACTGCAGGGAGCATCGCTCTCCTCCCTCCCCAGTCATCAACTCTCCTCAGAGCGTGTTACGTACCCCTTATTTTGGGGCCTGGTCGCGGTTGCCTCGAACGGTCGGATTGGGTTGAACGTAGGGTTACCGGATTACCAGCATCTGTACAGTGTACAGTATTGTACGTGCGTACCAGAGCTTCACACACCCGGTCGAGGCAACCAGGTGGTCAATGCGACCGGTTGGTCGCGCCCATGCACAATCGAGTCGAGGCAACCAGCCTCGAACGTACCAACATGCAGCGCAACCAGTGATCCAGTAAACACCAAGGGCAGGTCACACAATCATATATCGATGCGATTGGTGGAAGAAAACAAATATCAAGAATTGAATGCAGAACATTGGTGAAAAACTGTTGGGTCTGCCCAAACAACTATTCGCGTGGTTGGGTCCCGAAAACAAGCGAGTGGTACAAACGCAGGTTGCCTGCTGGGACCCAACCGCCCACTGGTCGACCCGACCAGTCAGGTTGGGTCGACTTTTACAGGCAACCGGGCCCTGCCACCAAATTAAGGGGTACGTAACACGCTCTCAGTGGTTGTCGCCTCCATGCTCTCAACGTGGTATTTCGAACTGCAAGAGTGGTACAAAACGTAACCTACAAATCAGAGCATACAAGGCCAACGGCCTCCTATCCACAACCTCTCGGTAGTTCGCCAGCTCGTTGGACGACTCAGCATTCAACATGGCGTTGCTCGGATGTGCTTCTTCCGTTGTTCCTTGTGACAATGACGAAGGTGGCGACCGCCGAATTTAAGTTAATCGATGATCAGCTTTTGCACTCCGAAGCTTGCGACCTCATATGTACGAAACTGCAATTGCCGGAATTTATACACGTCTGTGAAGACAGTACGATGCATTCAATGCTCTTGATTTGGAGGGTACCATAGGATGGCGTGTTAGCGTCACGTGTACACTTTTGTCCCTTCATGTTTTTGTCGTCGGGTCATCCTTCTCCGACCGTCGCAGGCATGGCCGAAACTCTACAACCTTGACGATCGCGAAAACCCTCCAGCGCTCTCCCCGCTCGGCTCGCAGCTGCTCAAAAGGTCCTTGAAACGACCTGATTGGTCGCCGGGTGAGCCTGCTAAGCCTGCTGAAAACGAATCGACAGCCTCTGATGGTGTTGGGAGTCCAGCGGGGGAGGCGCGGGAAGCGGAGGCCGGCAATGGACACAGCAAGTACTGTGGGTTGCAGTCTCTTCCGTCTAATGTGACTGATTCGCTGCAAGTTTCCCTGCAATCCCCGCGGGCGCTCCCATGAGGTGCGCAGCAGCGGCGGGGAGCCGCACACGCCATGGGTGCGCTGGGGAGTGGACGCGAATATCCCGTTGACGCTCACCGTTCAGCGCGATCTCTGGCTTCACCAGTTTCCCGCCAATTGCTCCTCACCCTCCCACCGCTTCCTCATTGCTCCACGAATATTTTTCGGCTGGCATGGGTTCGGATCCCAGCTGCACATCATGACCGTCCATCTGGCTGTTGCAGTTGTGACGAACGGGATCCTCGTGCTGCTTCCTGGAAGCTTCAGTCGCGCGAAGCGAAGCATCCGGGGTGTCCCGGAGACGTTTCCGGCGATCTGAGTTGCTATTTCTTTCCTCCAGACTCACAGGAGTGCATTGAGAGAGTGCAGAGGCTAAAGGAAGATGAGGTGGTGCAAGTGGGAGCGAACGCAACAATAGGAGCTACCAGGAGTGGTACTGGCAGCGCGGGGGAAGGGAAGTGGTCCCTGTGCGAGGATGTGATGGAGGCAGCGTTGAGTGACAGCGTGGCAGTCCAGCCTGGCATGCGATGCTTCTCTGATCGAGCGCTCGTTCCTAGTAAGCGCTCTTGCACCTGACTGTGGCTCTTTACATTCACACTGTTTTCGCACCATGACTGGATCCCCATACTCCTGGCGCAAAACATAACTCAGGTTCCAGTTTCCTGTTTGATTTTCACCCCTTGTGTCTATCTCCTCCTGCAGCAAGTGGGGGGAGCCATGGGCTCGAACTGCCCATCGGCTTGGTATGGGAATCAGGCACAGACGTTTTCTAAGGTGGGTCAGGAAGAAGTGTGTTCCCACGCAGCAGTCTGAACACATACTTATCTTACCTTTATGCAGGAGATATGCCATGTTACCCACAACAGCCTCACCACCCATCACTCTTCACCTCCACCGGCACTCTTCAACACCATCCCTAACTCATCACCACCATCCCAAACTCATCACCACCACTCCCAACTCGTCACCACCAACCCAAAGTCATGACCATTTTCACTAACTCATCACCACCTCACCACCCCTAGCTCATCACCACAACCCTGGTAAACATCACCATAACCGCCCCCCACTTATAACCACCGCCCCTCACTCGCATCACTGCCACCTGTTTTTTTCATGCCCATATCCTTCCAGGCCTCGTGGTGGCGAGCTCAGGCCATCCACTTTCTCCTGCGATGGCCGTCGCTGTACCTCTTCCACCTCACCAACATTGCACGGCACAGGGCCTTTGGCCGGGATGCTGCCATGAAGCTGGCTTTGCTCAGGCTGTAACAGAGGACGGCTTGTCCTCCTTCGCTTCTGCCCCCGCATCTCCATCGTTGGACAATCGGAGGGCGAATGAGACTCTTGTACATGACATGGCGATGCAGGATCGGTTGGGAAAGGAGCTGTTTGCTCCAAGGCCAATGTTGCACATGCATGTGCGTCAGGGAGATAAGATCCAGCTGGGAAAGGCAGAGTCGGTTGCTACATGGATGAGGGCTGCCATGCTGCTAAGGGTGCATGACCCGTCGCTGCACCGCATGTGGATTTCAACGGATACACAGGAGGTTCTTGACATTGCAAAGCAATATCGACACTGGCGCGTGTATTGGTTCGGGAATGAGCCCAAGTGGGACCCCAAAAGCCAATCGCAAAAGAAGACAGGGAAAAGGGAATTGCGTGCCTCGGTGGAGTCTAGCCTACTGAACCTCATGCTGGTAGTAGAGTGTGACTACTCCGTTATGGCGCTCGATAGTAACCGGAATAGGGTCATACCCTCTAGTCTTTATGCGAATCACTGGTGGTAGGGCCAACACCCCAGTTATTGTGCTGAGTTTGGTAGTCATTTGATTGCCTGATCTCTGTAGCATGTACATGGCTGATGAGAACTAGCATAGTCTTGTTAGTCATTCTTGTGTATTGACATGAATTTTGTAGGAAATGTGTTGTAGACATTGGTTGTTTCGCGTAACGAGTTTTGTGCATCCACTACACCTGCTCGCCTGCATCCGCCAGTTGACCTCCCCTAGTGCAAGTGGTGACAGCCGGAATTCACACCAACCCGCGCGGCACAGCGAATCTACAGTCCGTTCGCTACTATGACTCCGGCAACGCCAAGATCGTGCTTCAGGGAGGCGAACATCTGTGACCATAACGAACGCTTAGAACGTTTTCACCTAGGTTGTGGTAGGCTCCGCCTGTTTCAATCTCCTCGTGCGTGCTGTCCCTTTCCCCCATTTCTTCCTGCCCTGCCCTCCCTTTCCCCTACCCCCTTTCCACTATTCCTCCCTTTCCACCATCCCTCCCTTCCCTCAATTTCCTCCCTTTCCCCCATTCCCCATGGTCTCCCCTCTCTCCATTTCCTCCCCACCCCACCGACTCCGTCTCGCCTCTCAAACCTAGTTATGGCTCCTCTTCAGTAGTTGTCTTAGCCCAGTCTAGACTCTGGAGTATTTATTTGTCCAGGTCGACGGTTAGGGTTTCCAGCAGTATCTGAGATGGACGTTATAAACGGCGGCTTTAAAGGCGTAGTGAAGACACTTGGTCGTATCGGCAAGCAGAGAGATCGTGGTACGTCGTGGTCGTGCTGCTGTGCCACGCTTAAACCAGGAAAAGCGAGGTGTTGCTTGTCCAAGCTCCTAGAACACATCGCTTAACATATTAACGTTCTTTCGAAAGAGTCCTCCCATGAGACAGGGAAGAGTGTAAGGAGACTCCACTGGTTGCATAGTAGGCTCCTACCGTATGTTTCGGCTTCATTATGCTTTATACCTTTCCCTTCCTAGTGCCACGGTACGTTCTCCAAGCTCCCTATTCCACTGATCTTTCCGCGTCCGGCAACTAAATTGTAGCATCAAGCTAGGTGTAGCACTTCTCTCGAATGTAGTCCGCCTTAGCTCGTACAGGTCGTTCATTCCCATCCCTGCAGCTCAGAGCGCCCGTGCAGATGAACACGTCTAGGTCGCGACATGTCTGGCGACTCGGTGGCCACCGTCATGCGACATTCGTAGCATTATAGGAGTTTGCGATTTTTATTGCGGGTCGTGATAAGCATTTGTACCAATGCATAGATATGCAGTCCTCTTCATCTCGTTGCTCTTATTCTCCATTAGTACTGACTGGTTGTAAGTCCGTCTTGCCGTTTTGTCCCGCTCGCCGATGTAGTTCGATAATATACATTATATTTCCACAGCATCTCGAACGATGCTTGAAACTGCCTAGTTCTCCCAGTGTCGCCTATGCGTTGTCACCGTCGCGCTGACACGCGTTCGAACCCTAAGTTGACATCGCGCACTTACCAAACATCAACGGCCTATGTTGTCTCCTCGGTCGTTATTCTGTGACGTGGCGCCTCAAGTATTTGGTCCCTTGTCGTTTATCCCTTTTACTGATGATGCGTTTGTTGGTCTGTTTGCTGCCTTGCGTCTGTTCGTCGTTCACTTGCCGACTGCCGTCCGCCGTCTTTTTACCGGCCACCTTTATCGCCTCGCGTGATGATAAGGACATTCTTCCTCGTGAATTGGCCAGCCGACGGGCGTGGCGCGCGTGACGCACATCACGTTCGACCGCTTAAAGCACCATCCATCTACTTGCCGTCCACCGACCCTTTCCTCTCCGCCGTTACCCCTCTCAGACGATTACGTCGACGGCCTTCCCATGGAGACCGTAAAGCCAACCGACGTGAAGCACGTGCTCCTACCCCCTTGTTTTTTTTTTTTTTTTTTTTTTTTTTTTTCCTGTTGTACATCTCAACCCCACTTCTTGTCCGCCGCCTGCTCAGACGATGACGATGACGGCCACCCTCTGGAGATCGGCGAGCCAACGGACGTGAAGCACGTGGCGCACGTCACGTTCGACCGCTTTAAGGGCTTCCTGGGTCTCCCGGAAGACATCGAGGGCGAGCTGCCGTGCCGCGCGCCCAGTGCGGGGTAAGCTGCGGTCGCTGCTAGAGCGTGTCAGTGCGCGCTAGTGCGTGCCAGTGCGTGCCAGTGCGCGTTAAAGTGTGCGGGGAGTCTGTTCGTGACGCGCCTCATGGGTAGGCTACGGTCGTTGTTCGCGCGTCTAGAGAGTGCGGCCAGGATTGGTCGGTTCGGAGGGGGGCAGGTAGCACGAGGGAGCGAGTGAAATACGTCCCTGGAGTCTCCACCATTCGCGCAGTAACTCTTGCTGCAGTAACCTTATCCCTCTCTCTCCCGCCCCCCCACGCTCCTCTTCCCCCTGCCTCCTTTCCTTGTCCTCACTCCCAACTCCCCCCACCTCTCCTCCCCCCCCCAGGCGGTCCGTGTTCGGCGTGCAGCCGGAGCTGCTGCAGTGCTCGCAGGACGAGTTCGGCAACAGTGTGCCCAACATCCTGCTGCAGCTGCAGGCGCTGCTCTACGTCAAAAAGGGCCTCCAGGTACGCCTCTCCCCGCTCCCCCCCAGCCGTCCCCATCTCCCCTTCTTTTCCCTCTCAACGAGTTCGGCAACAGCGTGCGTCCCTTTTGACGCACGCTGCAACAGGATGTCCCTTTTGTCAAAAGGGACTCCAGATACGCCCCTTCCCCCTCCCTCCCGCTTCCCTTGCGTCCTTACCCCTGCTTTGTCCACTCCACCCTCTCGACGAGTCCGGCATTAGTCTCAATGCTCCCTCCCTCCCCTTCTTTTCCGTCCTCCCCTGTGTCTCCCCCCGTCCACCCCACTCCCATCCCATCTCTGCACCCCGCGTGCAGACGGAGGGCATATTCCGCGTGGCGGCGGAGAACGACCACGAGGACGAGATCAGGGATCAGGTCAACATGGGGCTCGTGCCGCAGAGCATCAACGTGCACGCGCTCGCGGGGTTGATCAAGGTGAGAGCGCTGCGAAAGTGTTGCGAGAGTTCTGCAAGAGCGCTGCAAAAGGTCTGAGAGAGGGCTGCGAGAATTCTTCGGGCAAGGCTTGTTACCAGTCCGTAAGGGCAACGTATTATCCCGTAACGAGGCGAGCCGAAGTCCATCTGCGTTTTGCAGAGCGCTGTTAGATATTGCGCCACTGGCCTCAACCTTCCCCTCTCCCGCTCCTCCTCGCGCCAGGCGTGGTTCCGCGAGCTGCCACAAGGGTTGCTGGACTCGCTACCGGTGGAGGTGGTGGCGGTGTGCGAGACGGAGGAGCAGATGCTGGCGCTGGTGGCGGAACTGCCCGAGACGCAGAGCATGCCCTCGGCTTGCCTGTCCTCACACCACTCCCCTTTCCCCTCACTTTCCCACACCCCCCTCCGTCCCCTCCCGCCGCCTCCCCTCCTCCCCCCTCCTCTCCCCCTCCCCTCCTCCCCCCCCTCCGCGCCAGGCGTGGTTCCGCGAGCTGCCACAAGGGTTGCTGGACTCGCTACCGGTGGAGGTGGTGGCGGCGTGCGAGACGGAGGAGCAGATGCTGGCGCTGGTGGCGGAGCTGCCCGAGACGCAGAGCATGCTGCTGGACTGGGTGGTGGGGCTCATGGCGGACGTGGTGCAGTTCGAGGAGCGCAACAAGATGAACGCGCGGAACATTGCCATGGTGTTCGCTCCTAACATGACTCAGGTGGGTCGAGCTGGGTCGAGCTGGGCTGAGCTGGGTTAAGCTGGGTTGAGGTGGTTCAACTGTAGCATCACATGGTGCGGATCAAAGAGTGGAGAGCAGAGAGCAGAGGGCTGACGGAGAGAGGGAGCTGTTGGGGTGGTATAGTTCGAGGAGCGCAACAAGCTGAACGCGCGGAACACTGCGGTGGTGTTCGTTCACACCCAACTTGACGCAGGTGGGTTGCAATGAGATGATTCAAATCACCTGGTGATCAAATCATCAGGTGATTCACAAAGGGATTTGAGTCAGCGCATGCAGGTAGGTCTGACCGTTGATTAAGAGCCAGCAGGGAGCCAGTCACATTGACTCATCGAACGGATAAAGGGGAATCAGCAGCAGGAATCGCTTATTCACGAGCTTAGGAAATCCCTTTCTTCCCGTCCTCATGCCGCCAGGTACTCGATCCTATTATGGCATTGAGACATGCAGTGAAAATGATGGACTTGCTGTGAGTGCTCATTGAGAGGAGGTGCTGCTTCGGCAGGTGATTAGCTAATCTGTTTTCTCCAATCCTCCTCCCGCCAGGTGCTTGACCCTATTATGGGGCTCAGACACGCAGTGAAGGTGATGGACCTGTTGCGAGTGCTCATCGAGAGGAAGCAGCAGGAGCCTCTGAGGGAGGGCGGTAGCGCGGCGCTCAAGTCCTTTGTGTACTGCACGCAGCCACCCACCATTAAGATCTTCGAGGAGCCCCGGCAGAGAAGTAAGGAGAGACAAGGGGGCGGCGGGGAAGGGGAGGAAGCGGGGGAGGGGGCGGGGGAGGCGGAGGAGGGTGAGGGGGAATGCGCGGATAAGGATGAGCTGCTGGCGCGGATGGGGGGTGAGGGGGAGGAGGCGGAGTTAGATGCGCGGGGAGGGGAGGAGGGGGACGTGGTGATGGGGGAGGACGGGGAGGCAGGTGCGCAGGGAGGAGGAGAAAGAGGGTCTGCAGCAGGGCAGGCGAATGGGAGCGAAGGGAGAGAAGGGGAAGGGGTAGGAGAGGCAGAGGACACGAGCACAGCAGCAGCTGGGGCAGGGGAAGCGGGCCTTAACCCGAGCAGCATCAGCAGCGGCAGCCCGTTTGATGCTTCCTGTAGTTCCCTACCAGGCTGGTCGCCACAGGACAGTCAAGCAAGTCAACTGAGCCACGCCTCACAGGACGACAGCAACAGCATCTCCCTTCCGCACCTGCCTAGAATCGCCAGCGACAGCCCCGTGCATCCCAGCAGCGGATTAGCCGGCACAGTAGACCCTAAGGAGCTCAGTCGAAGGGTAGCCAGCGGCCCTCTGCAGGTGTCAGCAGCAGCAGCAGAGCGGTGGAGGAAGAGGAGAGAACCCAAACCCGCACCACACCACACAAGAATGGCTTCCCATGATGGCCCTGTAGGCAGAGACGTGCCTCCCTCGCCTGGGTTCTTCCGGAGTGGCAAGAACGCGCCTCAGTCCGACCCCACAGCCAAGGAGCGCCGCGCTTCTCGGATTGGAGTCCCCACGAAGATGTTTTTTCGGAGGAATCTGTCGGAGGGCGGGCCGGCGTTTGGCCGGGACTGGGATGCGGAGCGGCGGAAGATTGCAGCAGAGGATGCAGGAGCAGCTGGGGGTGCTGGAGGGAGGGGGGTTCTGGATGGGGGGGATGTGGCGGAAGGGAGGGAGGGCGAGGGGGAGGATGAGGTGGGGGCAGGGGAGATGGAGTTACGGGGTGCAGAGGAGGGCGTAGGGTCAGGGCCAAGCGTGGAAGGCCAGCAGAGGGCTGGCTCGTCTGGTGCTCGGGGTGCTAAGAAGCTACTGCACAAGTTTGGGACAGGTCTCAAGGTAGTAACACCTGGTGGGGGGGGCTCTGGGGGTGGCTCTAGTGGGGAAGCGTCGTCGCCCCGCGGGCAGCTGTTGCGAAGATCATTTAGCTCCAAGGGGTCGGGGTTAGGCCCTGCTGCTGATAACCTATCAGCGGTGGCAGCTTCTGTGCCGACAGGAGGGGTGCCGCCGCCTGTCCCAGATAGGCCTTCCCGGATTCTACCTCCCACGCCTCGCATGGGAAGCATGCTAGAGAAGCCAGTGAGGAATGTGGAGAAGGCCACTAGAGGGGTGGGGAAGCTTGCGAGAAGCTTTTCAGGGAATATTGACGGGCACTGGGGTGCTATCAAGCGGGAGATGGGGTTGGCAGTGCGCGGTAAGGGGCGGAGTAGTTTGTCTGTTAATGCGGCAGGCCCGGTCTTGTCGGCACCAGGTGGAGTGGATTCGGCAGGGGCGGGTGGGTTAAGGGAGGAGAGAAGTGATGGTGGTGGGGCAGAGAGACTGTGGGAAGCTACTGGGCAGGTCGGGGAGGGGCGGGAGATTCTAGATGGGGTTATGGAGCATGGGGCCGAGGCTACTGTAGAAGCTGTAGATGCCGTAGATGCTATAGATTCTGTAGATGTGGGCATGGATGTAGGGTTTATGGGAAGGGATGGTGGAGGAGGGGATGCAGCTGTTGATATGGAGGGAGGGGAAATGGCAGTTGATGTTGTCGTTTGCACGACTCCTGGTCGAAGGGAGGAGGGAGGTTTTGGGTCGGATGAAGATGTGACAATGGAGGGAGCTGAGGAGGGCGGCATGAAGCTAAGGGATGATGATGAAAGTGGGGATGTGGGGAAAGGGTCTTGGGAGGGAGAGAGCGGGGAGTCCGATTTTAGCTATGGTGCTGTAGGAACGTGGTGAGGGATTTTGCACAGTACTGGCTGGCAGCATGAGTTGATTCGTGCTGATCGAGAATTCACATGTAGGTGGCAAAACCTCTCAATTGGTATGGTGAAGAGCTTTGTATTGTGCTGGATCATGTGTAAAATCTGGTCAGGTGAAGCAGCAAGCAGCTTATTCGAATAGTTGAGATAAACTGCTCAAAGCCTCCTGTGTGAATGGCAGTCAAATATCAGATAAAACAGATTATCATTAGTCTAAAATGCAGAGCACGGAAAAAAAATTGCATATTAGGGCGCGTGTGTTCTTGCCGAACCTGACAAAGTTCGAACTCAAACCGTTTTGCACCGTGGCAAAAAGTTTCTAGTTGTATTCTACCGTGACAAACCGTTATAAAAGTTCGAACTTTCAGTCAGGTTCGGCAAGAACACACGCGCCCTTATCACCTTCATTTATCGATGTGGACAAATGTGCCGCACTCTCCCTCTCGTCTCCTCATGATAACACCTCACTTTTGCAGCTCGGCTGATTGGCGGAACGACAATCAGTTTCTTGGCATCGTACAGCACTGTACATGTCCGCGAACTTGAATGTTTTCCAGCAGCATTCACCCTGGCAACATTAGCCTCAGTCCAGGTTGTACAAGCAGCATTGCCCACACAACGAAACATTCACAACCAAAGGTTCTAAGAGCGTGTCCGAAGTGAAGCGTCGAATGGACATCGATGGATGTTGGTAATGTGAACCCTCGGATCGAGAGTTCCAACCGTCAGGATTTACCGACATCGGATGTCAACGGATGTCGGCTTCACTTCGGACCCGCCCTAAGCCGAGCTGTAATTGAAGGAATATCGAGAATGTTCTTTGGAGGTTAAAACTTTACGGGCTATTCACGCCAGAATTTTCATGCCTTTCTGCTTGGCACGCTTCTGTACGTAATTGTGCGGCGCAAGGCCCCCATCCCTGGTCTCCCCTTCAAACTGGTCCCCCCTCGGTCGTCCCGTTTTGCCCATACAGCACTGTACAACGGTTGCGCCAATCACTCATCCCCCCATCACTGCTTTGCGTTGCCCCAACCTCTGTCGAAGCGGCTCGATGCGAATACTGTAGCAGCGTCTCCACAAATATTCGTCACTTTGTGGTCACCTGTCTCCGAGCCTGGGAAAAATGTAAACCGCACTAAGACGTTCTTGATCTCTTTCGACCTGTTCACTCACCTATTCACCGCCTTTTGCTCTAGATTCCCCCATCTTGCATTTCTCCCTTCCCTGCTATCCACTCCTTCCAAGGCATCCACTGTAAGAAGCGCCCCAGCTGTCATCACGCAACGCAACGACCCCTACAGTCCTGTGTTTCCTTCTCCACAAATCTCTCTCTGCTCACTTTTCTCCACGGTAACTGCCTCGTGGCTCTATCCAACCGCCAGGCCTGGGAGGCCCAAATCCTTGTCCCGTAGCGTACGTCGTGCTTGTCCGCGTAACGGCCTCCTTCCAAACACTCGGCCTGCTTCAGTTCAGGCAGGTCGAGTCATCGTCACCATCCTGTTGTTCTAGCCGCCAGCCACCACTCCGTAAACTCGCCTCCCCTCTTGTTCGGCTCGTCCACTGCAGGTCTCCGCACCAACAATGTACCTCCACCGACCATTCCACACCTAGCTTAAAGGCGGGGTGCAACTTCTTAGAAACAGTAGCAGGACAAACATGGAGTGTGCGTAACGAGACCCTTATTGGATGAAAAAAATGGAATCTCGGAAAAGACAAACTTCTCGCCACAGAACTGCCTGGGACAACCAAGTTCCAAGCTATAATACTTCGAAGTTGAAGCTGATAGTTGGGCCACGGCTTTAATGCTTCTTCCACGCTCCTATCAGCTACAGCTGCAGTCATAGTATTACTCAATACTGACATTTACTCCCATAGCACGTTGTAGGCGTCTCCTCCCTTCGAAATATACGAACACCGAACGTTCCTAAGGGAACGCGAATGTGCTCCGCAGTTTCATTCGCGAATCGAGCGTGAAATCTTTTCATTACTCAGTCAAATCTCCCTCTGTTCTTTCCGCCATGGCCCTCGATCTGCGGAAGTCCATCACCAGTGCTCGACTCGCCGACGCATCTTCCCTCGAACCTTCCGACCGAGCGTTTTCCCTCTCTCGCCTCCTCTCACCACGAAGCGGCAATCCCCGCTCCTCCTCATTTTCGCGCGGAAACGACAAAAACGACGTCAAATCGAATGTCTCTGCATTTTCGGCCTCCGGGTTATCCGCAAGTGTCCTATCTGCAGCCGAACCTGCCGGGCTGCATTCCGAAGCAGCACGCACTGGCTCGGGTGCAGCCGCCGGTGGTGGCTGGGAAGCTCCTCAGGCTACAGCTTCGGCAAGGGTAGCGTCGGAAGTCGAAGGTTCGGGACAGCCGAAGCTGTTGCTGGAGGCGCGCTCAGGCCGCATTGCACACGTCAGCCGGGGGTTGTTGCGCGACCTGGGTTACACCAGCTCTGAAGATTTTGGCGGGAAAAGCTTGTACGATCTGGCGGATGGGCTCTATGAAGCTGATTGGTCGAGAGCTGTAGAGGCGGTGACGAAGAACAATCGCGCTTCGGTGCGAATTCACTTCAAGCTGCTGAAAAGCGACAGAGCTGGCGATCTTGTCGGCACGCGCGTCGCTCTCTCGCTGAATTTCGCAGGCGACGAAGAGAGGACCGTCGCAGGCGATGGACCGTCGCCAACATTTCTCCTCGGGGGCTTAATGCCAGCGCCGCCGCAATCATCGACGCCGGCGGCGGGAGCGGCCAGCGGTTTCCGGGTGCGACGCGTGGAGGTGATTATAGAAGAACCGCCCCAGACCCCGCTACAAGAAACGACGGGTAAACGAACGGCCGAAGCCGCTCTAATGGGAGAAACTGTCGAACGTCGAGACTTTAATGGCGTCACTGGGAGATACCAAGATATTAGAGTCTCAGAATGCGACAGCCTTGGCGACATAAATGGGGACTCGAGTCGCATAGGTGGCGAATCCTGCGACAACTCTCTCGAGAGTTCTTCCACGTCAGCGGAGCCCCATTCCACGTCACCGCAGGAGCAAATTACATCACCAGGTTCGGACTGGCAGGCGGGAAGCGAGACGAACAGCGATTGGTCGAGGGAGAGCGAGTTGCAGCAGCAGGGCTTAAAAGACGGCATCAGGGGGGCAGGTGCGAGGGGAAGCCGCGCGCAGCAGAACGGAATGGTTTGCGCGTTTGGCGCGCCTCCCGGCTCTATCACTCCCCCTCGCGCCCACGCCCGCCCCCCTCTCCCATCCCGCGGAAACGGCGACGTGGGGAGCAGCTCTGGTCGTACGCGCGCCTCCGGCTACCACTCCGCGCGCAAGCCGCCCGTTCCACGTGTCAGCAGCACAGGGTCGTTGAAATCAATGCAACCTCCGAATTCGTCACGGACCGTCCAGAATAGCAACTGGCCGCGACGCGAGGATGGAGAGGAGGAATTGGAGGAGGATGACGAGGAAGAGGAGGAGGGGAATGGGTTGGAGATAGACGAGGAAGGATTGGCATTAGCTTTAAGAGAAGACCCCGACGACGAGGATTCTCTTAACGAGGATGCGTACAGTGAAGCAGAAAATGACGACGACATGACATCCCCGATCGCGCCGCTCGAGGAAATCGAGAATGGTTTTGAAGACGACGACGACGATGACGAGGACGCGTATATCGGGGATGGCAGGGGCGGGGAGAGCGCGACCGTCGCTCGGCAAATTTCGGACGTTCGTGAGAGGCTTGCGGCGCGGAGATCGTGCCACCTGGCGCGCGGAGGGCGGGAGATGGACGCGGACGCGATATCGGACGAGGACGAGGACGAGGAGTCGTGGGAGCGCGTGAAGCAGCGCTGGGCCGCGCAGCAGCAGCGCCTGCAGCGGCGGGAGGAGCAGCAGGTGCAGCAAGCGGTTCAGGCGGCGAGGGAGAGGGAGAAGGAGCGCGAGAGGGAGAGGGCGGCGAGAGGGGGGGAGGAGGGCAAGAAGCGGGCGTTTGCGAAGTGGGTGGGCGGGGTTCGGGGAGGGGACGGGGGAGAAGGAATGGAAGGTGAGGGAGGGGGAGGGAGGGAGGGAGTGTGGAGGAGTGAGCGGAGCGGTCGGAGCGATAAGAGCGACAGGAGCGATAGCCCTGCTAGCAGATCGCTGCGCATGAGCCTGAGCATGGGACGATCGCAGTCTCCTGCTGCCCCAGCGTCCTCTAGTTATGGCCAAGGCAATGATGAGGGGAAGGTGCGGGAGAGGGAGAAAGAAAGGGAGAAGGAACGAAGAGGCCCGGCCCTAAGCAAGGCGGTGAGCTTCGGGAGAGTGGGCTTTTCGCTTTCGTCCCCTTCAAAGAGAGAACAGAAGGGGTCCAGCAGGCTTGGGAGTGCCGAACCAGAGGGCTGGAGTGAGGATAGACGGGTGGCTGCTAGCCGTTTTGCTGAGGAGAGTGGGAGGAGCGGAGTGGGGGTACAGCAAGAGAGAGGGAAGGAGGAAAAGGAGCAAGAGGAGGAATTTTTCTGGCTGGGATCGCCCGTGAGAGAAGACAAGGAGACTAAGGACTTGAATGCTCCCTCTGTCTCTTGCATTGACACCAGCACTGGCAGCAGTCTTGACAACAGCAACAGTACCGTCACCAGAAGTAACAGCATTCGAGGAAAACTGAACCTATCGCTGTCACCTCTCAACGTAGACGACTCGGAAGCACCAAGCGAGACCAGCCCAGCTTCTCCCGCTACCATCTCCAGTCCTTCTCAGCCCCTCTCCCGCCCGCCCTCCCGTATTCCCTCCCTCATTGCTCGCTCCTCCTCATCCGACGATGCCCGCAGCCTCCGCAAGCAGCACTCAGAGCCCAAGCGCGATCCCAACCACATTCCGGCACCATTCTGCACCGCCCCCGACCCCTGCAGTTTACCCGCCGACTCACAGCCTGGGGGAGGAGAGGCGTCCACGCCTGGCCGGCGCCTGTTGAGCGCCCTGAGCCACAAGGGAGTGGTTGGCGCTGCCAAGAAGGCCCTTGAGGCAGTCAGCTCCCCTCGCCGCTCCCACACCTCTCTGTTCGCCTCGGTATCTGCAGAATATGCCTCGGCTCGTGAAGATGGTGCTGAGGGTGCCTCTGCTGGCTCCTCTACTGGTGGTGGCGGTGGGAGGGGAGGAGGAGGGGGAGCAGAGCCCCTGATTGGCTCGCCGCGGTTCTTCTCGTCTTCCTCGCGGCCGTCGTCTCTCCGCCCCTCTGCCTCCCATGACAGCTACACGTCCTCTCCCTCCTCTCGTCTCTCCTCATCCCCATCCCGGAGCATCGTGCCTCGCTCTTCCTCTCTGGAGGTCCCGAGGTCGGCTGGGGTGCCTCGGAGTGTGTCGCAAGAGAGTGGTTTTGGCACCAGCAGCAGTAGCAGGGAAAGTGGTGGCGCCTCACGCCGCCGCAGCCTGCTTGCCCCATCCTCTTACAGGGAAGATGGGGGCAGTTACAGAGAAGGGAGCAGCTTTAGAGGTGGTGGTGGAGGGGATGTGAGTGGAGGTGTGCAGGGGGGGAAGCAGCAGCTGTCTGGGCTGCAGGCCCCAGGTGTATCAAGCAGTGTGGGTGGATGTGCAGTGGAGTGTAGAGCGGTTGGGATGGAGGGTCGAAGAGAGGATGCTGGCTCGGCTTTGACACCCAAGGGCCGGTGGGGAGCTTGGGCTGAAGACGAGAAGTCTGGAGATATGGATTGGTTTTGGTAGTTTGCCTTGCGAAAGAATTTTGAATATGCTGTAATATTGTGTGCTTGAGTTTTGAAACGTCTTAGTGAGTTGCATTGAACCTATTACCAGTGTAGAGACCAGAGGCCCCCGATTTTCCAAGTTCAAGTGTACTAATAACTGCGAGCAACGAACCAGCCTCAAGCGCATATCATGCGCTGACTCGAGCGACATGTGTGACACGTGCCAAGTGGTGCTGTCGTTTCTGATGTTCTTGTCCCCGCGCCTCGGATGTCGTGCTTTGATTAGAGGAGAGGGCAAGTGAATGGCGTTTACAGTAACATGACATTGTCGAGATTGACCACTTGCTTCAGGTGGATACCGGCCCAAACGATAATGTGTACGGTTGCAAGGGCGTGTTTTCAGTGCAGCGCATCATGTCGCAGTGACCTCGGCAGTGATTTCTAACTAGGGAGCCTGGGAAAATGCCTGGGTGGCAATGGTGGCGAGAGGAGAAATGCGCTGGTGGTGCTCATGTCAGGCAGGTGAGCTCCTCCGAACAAGAAACGGCGATTGTTTTGGCGGGCAATTCTGTCCCGCTTACCTACCTCAGCAGACAGGGTCTTTTGTGAGTGCGGGACTCGGACAGCAGGGGACCAGAAGGGAACCTCAGGCAGCACTGTAGGTAGCAGCTCTGTATCTTGTAGTTGGCAATGTAACCCCCTGGATTGCACTTTAAAGCGGGCTGCGGGGAAACATTTCAGGCGTGCGGAAGAAACTGCTTATCTGTACAATACCTTCTCAATATCTAAAAGCCGAGGTGTTGGCTGTGCTGGAATGTAGGGGGGAATCCACAGGGAAACAGCGAACTGGGTGGTCTCCCAGGTAGTTATACGTAACTAAATTAAACGTTTAGCTGGGTGCCTTCACGGTTGTTAACGTTGAGTAACCAAATTTAGATAAAGTGCAGCACTCATGTTTGGTTTCGGTGGACAGAAAGCGGTTTCCCACTCACTGGCTTGATGTTTTGGATCAGGGGGCACGCGGATGCTCAATGCGCGCTTCTTACCCACACCTACCGGAACCGCACACTGCCAGTCCGCGCGGAACCTGGAGGTTACCGGCGGAAAGACAGCTGCCGTTGGCGGTTACGTGTAGCTTGGTTTGGTGTGGCCTGAGTCGTGGGGGAGAAAAGGGGGAGGAGAGGGGGACTTTATTGTACGCGTTTCCATCCCCCTTTTCCTGCCCCCATCCCCGCTTCTCCCCATCTGTAAAGCTTCCGCCTTCCCCCTTTTTAGCACGAGGCATGGTGCACAAAACCCTTCCCGTGGCTCTCAGCTGAGATTGATTTTTCCCACTCACCCACCCACCTATGTACACTACGCTCGCCCCACCAGGTCTCGTCACCTGCACTTCTGCTCATTCGTCCTTAGTAAATATTACGCGCAAGTGCTATCTTGTATACTGAGCAAAGGCAGGCGTGAAGTACAGATCAGAAGTTCTTGAGGAGAGTATATTTTTGAGTCGATTCTACGTCCGTCTTACTGGCAGCCGCCACGCGTTCCTTTTTTGGCCCAGCATGGGTATCCGTCAGTGTTTGCCGTCACTATTAGCAGTTTTAGTAGTCGTAATATCACTAACGGCGGTCTCCGCACAGTCGCAACCACCGCCCACCCCACCACCAGGGGATCCCGCAAATGAAATCATCCCGATTCCAGGATTTTCCACCCCCGATTCCGTCGCCATGGCCGAAAGTACGAGCATTGCCTCACGCATTGTCGGTTCACGGCACCAATCTAGTTTCCACTTCGCCGCTTGTTCCTTCTCCCTGCTCCTTTTTTCCCATTTCGTAACGGCCACTACCAGTGTCATTGCCGTTGCGCTAAACTAACTTCCTCTTCGCTTCTAACGAATATCTCTTCATGGCCGTGGCTTGCGCAGAGGCGGCACTGCTGGCATTCGCGAAAGCGTTCGGCAACCACGAGGTGTTTTTCAAGTGGGGGTCGTGGGCGAACGTGTCGCTGGGCATGCAGTACAACACGTCCAAGCCGTGCGTGCAGTTCTGGAAATGGATCACCTGCGACATCGACGGCCGCGTTAACGCCATGTAAGCCGTCCTCCCCGCCCCCACCCCTCCACTCCCGCCGCCCTCAAGTCGTTTTATAGACTAGCCTCTCTCCGCCCCCTCCCCCCGCCCCCCCAGCTTTCCCCTTTCCTCCTCTCCCTCACGTTCCCCCCCTCCTGCCCCCACCCCCCCTTCATCTTACAACGACACTCAATTCATCCCTTCCCCGCGCACCGTTCTCCCCTTTCTCCGCGCGCGCAGCGACATAGGCAACCCCCAGATGGCGGACAAGGACCCGTCGTACGGCAAGGGGATGTCGCCGGGCGCGCTAAAGGGGCAGATCCCGTGGGCCAAGATGACGGCACTCGAGAATCTCGTGCTTATTAATTTGCAGGGCAACGACGTCTACGGCCCCGTGCTGCCGCCGATAATTTCCAAGTTCTCCAAGCTCAAGGAAATGTGAGCCGCGTCGCCTTTGCCTCCCGTCCGTGTGCTGCGCTCGAGTCGGTCGCGCCAGCTCCTCGCCCTTCACAGTCGATCCCTGACGTTTGATTTTCCGTGCCTTCCCGGTCGCACTCCCTGTTTATCGAGTCTCAGTTCATCTTCTTATCCGTCGTTCGTCTAACCCTGCCTTTCTGCCCTTTCCTCCGTGTGGTTGCGCATGCGGTACGGTCCGGTGCGGTACGGTGCGGTGCGAGCAGCATGTTCGAGGGCAACCGGTTCGTGGGTCCCTTTCCCGAGGAGGTCTCGGCGCTCAAGAGCCTCCAGAAACTGTACGCTCCGCTCGCCGCCGCGCTTCGAGTCCGTCGCCGCCGCCGCATCTATTCCTCTAACATGCGCGAACATTCTCGATAGTTCTCGAGCGTTTTCGGGTTTCCTGTTGTCGTTCCGTGCACCCCCACCGTCATTCTCGTGACTCTGTTATCGTTTTGCCGCCATTGTCGATGCTGATGGATAGTGTGGTCTCTGACGACTTTCCTTCGTCGCTCCCGGGGTCCTGTCGCGTCCCCGCTTTCCCCGCTCCCCCTCGCAGCGACGTGAGTCTGAATCGCATCACGGGGTCAATCCCACGTGGCATCGCCACGTTGAGCAATCTGACGTGGCTCGCCCTCTCGCAAAACCAGATGGCCGACGTGCTGCCGCCCGAGATTGGAAACTTGACTCAACTTGTAAAACTGTACGCACTCGCGACTCGACCTTTCGCCCTCTCGTCAATTTGGGGTCGCTATTGAGCAAGTTCACCTCAATCCGCTCTGTCTCTCGTGTGGTCTTTAACTGGGAAAGTATCGTGCGTGCTTGCTTACGGCATCTGCGCTTCATACCGCCACGTGTCTCGTTATTTAGTTAAACGTTTTGCCGGTGGCTCATACTGACGGCTTTGTGTGCTACGCTCGCATCGCAGGGACATTGGCGGGAACTCGTTTCAAGGCACGCTGCCGGAAAGCTGGGGCTCACTCCAGAAGCTAGAGCTGCTGTGAGTGCTTATCAACTTATCAATCTTACCACGCCTGCTTATCAACCTCCTCCCTGTGTGCTGCTTTGACCGTCGCCTTTGCCCGCTCACGCCGCATTTTCAAATCCTCCCCCCCACACCCCCCCTCCCCCCCTCCCCCCCCCCCCCCTTCCCGTCCACCTGCCCTGTACCGTCCGTTTCGGCCAAAGACTCATCGCTTGCCCATGCCCATTTTTTCCCGCTCCTCACCATCCTAACTCTCTCCCCGTTCCCTCTTCCCCCGCTTCTCCCCTTCGCTCCCCCCCCCCCCCCCCCCCCTCCTCTCCTCCTCTCCTCCCCTCCCCCCTCCCCCCCCCTTTTCGGCGCGGCAGCAATCTGCAGAAGCTGAATCTGAACGGCTCCTTCCCCGAATCGTGGGCGGGCATGACGTCGCTGCAGCACTTCGTGGCGCCCGCCGCGCGCATCCAGAGCCGCTTCCCGTCGTTCCTGCTCAAGCTCAAAAACATCTCTGACATGTAAGTCCGCTCTTCTTCACCCGCCCCCGCCGCATCAACACCCCCCGCCTTCCCCTCCCCTCACCACCAGTCCTTCCTGCTCGAGTCTCAGCCTCCCCTCGCCTCGCATTCACCTGCTGCTGCTCGTATCCTCCTGCTGCTACGCTCGGTGCCTCGCCGTGTCGCACCCACGAACCTTCCTCCCAATCCATCTCTTCCTCCCCTTCCTCTTTTCAGCTTCCTCTCCTCTTCCCCCTCTCCCCCCACTCCCCGTATTGCCCTTCCCCCCACACCCGTATCCGCCCCTGCGCAGAGTGCTGTACAACAACGAGCTGTGGGGGCCACTGCCGCCCGCCAAGGAGCTCTTTGCGCCCCGCACGCTCACCGCACTGTGAGCCGCCCGCCCCTGCCCCGCCCAACCTCGCCCGCCCCCACCCTTCTCTGCCCTTCTCCGCCCGCATCAGCCTTTTTCCGCCCTTCTGCTTCCCACCCTGCTGCACTCCTCCCACATCCCCCACCATCCTGCCTGCCGTCCGTCGATTCTTGCCCGTCCGCCTGCACAGCTCACTCTCGTGCTGCTTCTGCGCCCTCCTTCTCCCCTCCCTCACTCCCCTCTCATTTCTCCGCCCATCTCCGCCCACTGTTCCCCGTCACGCTCTCCCCGTGTCCCCGCGGTGCAGGGACGTGAGTTCCAACTTCCTCAACGGCACAGTACCGCCAGTGCCTGCCGGCCGCAACCTCGACTTCAAGTCAGTCCCTGCCGCCCCCTGCCGCCCCTTGCCGCCCCTTGCCGCCCCCCTGCCACCTACTGCCATTGCTTACACCTCTTTCTGGCAAAGACTCCCCCAATTTCTGCAAACTCCAGCAGCTACCGTCATTTGATCTGCTGTAACCTGCCCCCTTCACACCCCTTCTCACCTACCCCTCAACTCCCCTCTCCCTCTCTCTCCGTGTGTCCCGCCCCCTCCCTCTCCGCCCATCCCCCCCCATGCAGGTACTTCACCAACTGTCTGAACACGTCAGCCAACCCGGCACTGGCGGATCAGACGCCGCAGGACCCCGCGGAGTGCACCAAGTTCTACAACACCCTCAAATTCGGTAAGCCCCCCTCCGCCCTCCCCCGCTCTCCCGGCCCCATCCGTCCCCGGTGTGCTCCCACTGCCGCCCAGCTGTGCTCCCACTGCCGACCACTGTCCCCCCACTGCCGCCATTGCCCCTTACGCCACCAGTTGTGGCTCCCTTCCGCCACCAGTTGTGGCTCCCTTCCGCCACCAGTTGTGGCTCCCTTCCGCCACCAGTTGTGGCTCCCTTCCGCCACCAGTTGTGGCTCCCTTCCGCCACCAGTTGTGGCTCCCTTCCGCCACCAGTTGTGGCTCCCTTCCGCCACCAGTTGTGGCTCCCTTCCGCCACCAGTTGTGGCTCCCTTCCGCCACCAGTTGTGGCTCCTCCTCTCGCACCGCCCCCCCTCGCTCCTCACCGCCCACTCTCTTCCATTCTATTCCATTCCCGTCCCTCTTCCCCCCTCCTCTCTCCAGCCTCGCAGCTCTCGAGCACGAGCTACAACGGCACGGAGACGGTGCAACCAACCGAGTACGTGCCGGCGCCCATGATCATCGGCATCACGGTGTCTCTCGCCCTCCCTGCTCCCCTCCTTCCCCCTTCCCATTCCAGCCTCGCAGCTGTCAAGCACGAGCTACAACGGCACAGAAACAGTCCAGACCACGGAGTACGTGCCGGCGTCCAAGACGCCCATGATCGTCGGCATCACGGTGTCGCTGGCCATCGCCATCGCGGCTGTGGGCGGCGCCATCTGGTTCCTCTACTACACCAAGCGCGGCCAGAGCATCTCCAAGATGTTCACCAAGGGCCTCCGCCGTGAGTGCCCAAGCTGCTTCCTCCCCTCCCACTCCCCACACTCTCTTCTCTCTCTCTCTCCTCCTTCGCTTTCCTCTCGCCCGCCTGCACTTTTTCCGTTCGCCTTGCCCCGCAGGGCCCCATCCTCACATTCTCTGTTCCTCCTCCCCCGCTTTCCCCTTTTGCAGAGGCGACGCGCGAGTTCACGTTGAAGCAGATGAAGGCGGCGACCAACAACTGGCAGACGGTCATCGGCAAGGGAGGCTACGGCACCGTCTACAAGGCCACGCTCAAGGACGGGCAGCTCGTGGCCGTGAAGCGTCTGGACCAAGTCTCCAAGCAAGGCGACGTGGAGTTTATCCGAGAAGTGGAGCTGCTGTCCCGCGTGCATCACCGGCACCTGGTGAACCTGGTGGGATTCTGCGCTGAGAAGGGCGAGCGCGCGCTGATCTACGAGTACATGGCCATGGGTTCGCTGTATGAGCACCTTCATGGGGAGAGCGCGAAGGAGTACCCGCTGTCGTGGGACAGCCGCACCAAGATTGCCATCCACGTGGCGCTCGGGATTGAGTATCTGCACTATGGTGCCGACCCGCCTCTCATCCATCGGTGCGTTCTCCGCTCTCTGCCTCGCTGCCGCGTGCCTTGTGCCTACTTGCCTTGGGCTGTTCCAGCCATTTCACTCCTGCCTATCGCACAATGCTCCTGCTCGTGCCTATCGCACAATGCTCCTGCTCGTGCCTATCGCACAATGCTCCTGCTTGTGCTCACTCCTTTACCAACTATCGTGCCACCTTGGGCTCTCTTGTCCCTCTTTAACAGTGATATCAAGTCCGCCAACATCCTGCTATCCGACGACGGGTACTCCAAGGTGGCGGATTTCGGGCTCTGCAAAGAAGCGCCCATCGGGGCGGGTGCGGACGGCGGAGAGCAGCTCGTTCCCACGGCGACAGCGGTGCGGGGGTCGTTCGGGTACCTGGACCCCGAGTACGTGAACACGAGTATTCTCTCGGAGAAGTCGGACGTGTACAGCTACGGCGTCGTGCTGCTGGAGCTCATTTCCGGCCACAAGTCCATCCACGAGTGGCAGCCCCTCGCCTACTGGGTGAGTGCTGAGGGACTGCTGGGTGACCTGCTGGTTGAGTGATGGAAGTCGGACGTGTACAGCTATGGTGTCGTGCTGCTGGAGCTCATTTCTGGGCACAAGTCTATTCACGAGTGGCAGCCTCTCGCCTACTGGGTGAGTGCTGAGGGACTGCTGGGTGACCTGCTGGTTGAGTGATGGAAGTCGGACGTGTACAGCTATGGTGTCGTGCTGCTGGAGCTCATTTCTGGGCACAAGTCTATTCACGAGTGGCAGCCTCTCGCCTACTGGGTGAGTGCTGAGGGACTGCTGGGTGACCTGCTGGTTGAGTGATGGAAGTCGGACGTGTACAGCTATGGTGTCGTGCTGCTGGAGCTCATTTCTGGGCACAAGTCTATTCACGAGTGGCAGCCTCTCGCCTACTGGGTGAGTGCTGAGGGACTGCTGGGTGACCTGCTGGGTGAGTGCTGAGGGACTGCTGGGTGACCTGCTGGGTGAGTGCTGAGGGACTGCTGGGTGACCTGCTGGGTGAGTGCTGAGGGACTGCTGGGTGACCTACTGGGTGTGTGCTGGGTGTGAGCTGGGTGTGTGCTGGGTGTGTGCTTTGTGTGTGCTGGGTGAGTGCTGGGTGAGTGCTGGGTGTGTGCTGGGTGTGTGCTGGGTGAGTGCTGGGTGTGTGCTGGGTGTGTGCTGGGTGAGTGCTGGGTGAGTGCTGGGTGTGTGCTGGGTGTGTGCTGGGTGTGTGCTGGGTGTGTGCTGGGTGTGTGCTGGGTGTGTGCTGGGTGAGTGCTGGGTGTGTGCTGGGTGAGTGCTGGGTGTGTGCTGGGTGTGTGCTGGGTGTGTGCTGGGTGTGTGCTGGGTGTGTGCTGGGTGTGAGCTGAGGGACTGCTGGGTGACCCATTAGGCGAACTTCTGGAGCAGCCTGCTGCCTGCATGCTCCTCGTAAATCCATTGTTTTCTCGTATGTTCTTGCTAACGAAATCCTTGTGTGCATCCCCCTGTGTGTTTGCCGGTGTGGCCATGTGTGGTGGAATGGAGTGCAGGCGGAGGAGTACCTGGCGGACAGGGAGAAGACCCCTCTCATGGTGGACCCCAAGCTCGAGGGCAACTTTGATCTCGACGAGCTCTACGCGCTCTGTGACATCGCACGCACCTGCGTGCAGGACCAGGCCGTCAACCGCCCCACCATCCGCGACGTCGCGAAAGCCCTCGTGGAAAACCTCGGCCACGCCACGTCCAGCTACGCCGGCAGCCACCGGGACTCGGCGTCTATCATGTCGTCGTCCCAGTCAGACGCCACGTCACTGCCGTCCTCGTCGTACCCGTCCACGTCAGAGTCGTCGGAGTTTAGCTATCAGAACTACTCGGAGACGCTGCACTGGACGCCCGGGGATGACAACTCAAATGCGCAGTCGAGCAAGTCGGGGTCGGTGGCCCTGTCCAAGGGCGCCAAGGGCGACCACTTGCCCGTGCCTGTGCCGCGCCGCCCGGATTTCCCCCCGGATGAGGCGTGAGTGACTCGAGCAGAGGAGTTGCAGTAGGGGTTGGCTGTGATGGTGTGTGGGGATGGAAGGTTTATGGCGGGCGGAGAGGGGTCTGTGAGAAATGGGTTGTGTGAGGTGGTGTATATGGGCAAGAAGCGCTGATTGTGCTCTTGCATTTTCACACCTACCCGAGATTGCAGTTTGATTGCAGTGCAGAACTCTTGCATATTTCCTGTTTCCTTCTGTTACCACCTTGTAATTTATCAGTTAGATATTAATGTAAACACCCGTTTTAGGTGTGCTGTTTCTAGCAAATGTTGCATTCTCTTGCCCAGGCCAAGGGGCATTGGTGTATACTATCTGCTGAGCTCAATTCCATAAGGTGGTGTACAGTTGGTGTAGTCGGTTGTTGTGTGTCATTTATAGCGGGGAGGACGCAACTTCGATAGAAATCAGACGCGTGTTGAGAAATTTGCTGACTCGTCAAATACTCAGCGGGCAGGCAAGGCCTCACTGGTTGTTGACAAGATACGGAGCCCACCAGCAAGACCGAAGCGGTGTGGTTGGTGCGGGGAAATCTGCGCAGCGCAGGGTCCAGCCAATCAATTGTTGCTGCCCCAACCAGCATCCAGTCCAGGCAGGCAAGGCAATCCGATGACACCCAGCCAGCCCGGCACATTCCCCAGACTGCCCTACACCTGCACCAGCCGGCCAAACCCTTTGCGTCCCCGAACCTAATCCATACACCAATCAAGCCTGCCTGCCTTTTCAAAGCCAGCCAATGAAGAGCCTCAACTCTGACCCCCCTGACTTCCGGGAGCAAAGCGATTGATCCAAACCAATTAGCGCTCAGAGTTGAGTGCGCTGTCGACTCCGCCACGTCCCCCGCTACCGTGCGAGACGCCCTTATGAAGGTAGGTGCGCGCGCGCATGATGGTTGGCTCAGAGCGTAGCGCACAAGCGGAGTGTTTCCGCCAGCGTGGAAACGCTGCGCGTCGAGCGCTGCTGGCATGGCAAGTCACCTAACATGTCATCATTGAGAGGAGAGATACTCCACCGCCATCGTGTCAGCATTGAGGGTTGTTGAAACGTGAGCTTGAAAAAGATATTGATCCAAACGTTCACGCTTTGAAGAATCACGCCTCAGAGTTATGTCGCGGTTCGATCGATTAGGGCGGGACCCGCAGCGCAGAGCTCAGCAAACTCTGGCTCCGACATAGAAGCATCCAACCGTCTTATTTATTAACCTGTCATAACAATCGTATTGTAGACGCTATGAGCTGAAAAGCATCGGTTATTTTCAAGGCAATCGCAAGGGCATCGTTCACGCGGTTCACTTTGTTTCTGGGAATTATCAGTAAGTTCACGCGGTTCACTTTGTTTCTGGGAATTATCAGTAACCGCACGTATGGGTGCGTGCCTGGGCAAGCCGCTAGCGGATGGCGATCAACAAGGAGGGCGGAGAAAACACAAGGGCCGACACAAAAATGCCGCACCGGAAGAGCCGGAGGAGTTAGTCTTCGCAAATGAGAAGCCGCCGGAGAAAGGCGCCGCGGAGGCGCAACCTCAACAGCGGAACGGCGAAATTGCTGAAGGATCGAACGCGGGAGGGGGGGAAGCAACCGGGGGAGGAAATGGCGCGGGGAGCGCGTTCGGGGCGGGCGGTGGGGGAAGGGCGGGGCTGAGCCCGTTCGAGGATCCGCGGAACAAGGTGTTCGAGTCGCCCGCAATGTCGGTAATGGGCACTCCCGCCATCCACCTGTCCAATTTCTCCCCCGCGCCCGCCACCTTCGACGGGCTCGCGGGGAGCATTCTGCAGCAGGCGGCGGAAAAGGCGCGCGTGAGCCGGCTGCGCGACGACGAGCGCGGCAAGCAGATGGACGCGGCGGAGGGCGCCGCGGGGGCGGGGAACCAGATCCCCGTGGGCGTGGTGGTTGGCGGAGGGGGCGGCGGAGGGTTCGGCGCAGCGGCGGGCGCAGGGAGCGCGGGGGCGGGGAGCAGCGGAGGATCGGGGGAGGGGCATGAGGGAAAGGAGCTGAATAAGAAATTCGGGTATGCGCGGAACATTAACGCCAAGTACGAGTTGGAGCACGAGGTGGGGCGCGGGCACTTCGGGCACACGTGCGCGGCGACGGGGAAGAGGGGCGAGGTGAAGGGCGTGCAGTGCGCCATCAAAGTCATTCCCAAGGCCAATGTGAGCCGCGCTCCGGGGTACATTGGATTATTACCCTGTGAAAACGGGTGTATGTTTGTAGACGCATTCTAGGGTTTTGTGGACGTGGCACTGCTGTGCCAGGTTAGGATCCTCCTTGCTCTCCTTCCTCCCCCGCTTCTCCCCCTCCCCTCTCCCCCATCCCTTTCTTTCAGTAATAGTGGCACTCGATCCTTCCCTCCTTCCCCCCACTCGCCCACTATTTCCCCCCACCTTCTCCCCTCCTTACCCCCACTCGCCCCCCATTTCTTCCCACCTTCTCCCCTCCTTACCCCCACTCGCCCCCCATTTCCCCCCACCTTCTCCCCTCCTTCCCCTCACTCGCGCCCCATTCCCCCCCACCTTCTCCCCTCTTTCCCCCTTCTCTTCCCCACCCACAGATGACGACGGTGATAGCGGTGGAGGACGTGAAGAGGGAGGTGCGGCTGATGGCCTCAACCCTGTCCCACCGCCCTCCCCCACCCAACTCCCCCCTTGCCACTCCCTTTCCCCTTTCTCTTCCCCCCACAGATGACGACGGTGATAGCGGTGGAGGACGTGAAGAGGGAGGTGCGGCTGATGCGCGCGCTGGGCCCGCAGGAGTTCGCCGTGCGATTCTTTGACGCCTACGAGGACCAACTCAACGTGTACATAGCCATGGAGTGAGTGCTGCTATAACGAGTATTCAGCATACATAGCTACCTAGCTCATCATCAGTTCCACAGCCCAACCTACTTCCCTCCTGCTTTTCCTCTCCTCCCATCTCCTGCACTCTTTACAACTCTCCCCTGCTGTCTTCCCGTTTCCCTTTGCCCGTCTCCTCCCCGCCCCGCCCTGCCACCATGGCCCATCAGGTTGTGTGAGGGCGGCGAGCTGCTAGAGCGCCTGCTGCAACGGTAACGCCCTTTTCCCTCTGCTTTCCCACTCTTGCGTTTACTTTCTTTCTCGCCACCTTTCTTTCTGTTTGCTTGACAACCCTCTCTCCACCACTCTCCATCACTCTGCATTACTCTCCACCACTCTCCACCGCTTTCAGTCTGCCTTCCTCTTCGCCCCATTGCGTTTTCCATCACTGCTGCACCTCTCTCCTCCCCTCTTCAATCCTTATCCCCGTCTCTCTCGTTCGTCCCCTCTTCAATCCTTATCCCCGTCTCTCTCGTTCATCCCCTCTTCACAACTCACCCTTCATCCCCTCTTCACAACTCACCCTTCATCCCCTCTTCACAACTCACCCTTCATCCCCTCTTCACAACTCACCCTTCATCCCCTCTTCACAACTCACCCTTCATCCCCCTTCCCCCACCCCAACCCATCCCGCTTAACCTCCCGTCCGCGATTTCACCCAGGGGAGGCAAGTACCCGGAGCACGAGGCGAGGGAGGTGATGCGGCAGATCCTCAACATCATTGCCTTCCTGCACCAGCAGGGCGTCGTGCACCGCGACTTAAAGCCCGAGGTCCGTCACCAACTTGAAGCCACTAGTGAAACAAGCCGTTACTACAAACAATAGGCCTAGCTGACTCTGTTGATAATTAAGTAATGGTGTTTCTTCTCCTAACGCCCTCCCCCACCTCCCCAATCCCCCCTTCCCGCACATCCTCCCTCCAACCCTGCTCTCACTGTCACCTGCCACGTGCCACCACCACCCTCTGCCATCAGAACTTTCTCTTCAAGTCACGGGACGACGAGGGGTCAGCGCTACGAGCCATCGACTTCGGCCTCTCCGACTTCGTGCGGCCAGATCAGAAGCCTTTTGATGCACCTCAAAGTCCCCCTACCACCCACCACCCACCACCTCGTCACCCCACCCACCCACCCTCCCCTACCACCAGAACTTTCTGTTCAAGTCACGGGACGAAGGCTCAGTGCTGCGAGCCATTGACTTTGGCCTCTCAGACTTCGTCCGCCCCAACCAGAAGCCTGTTGATGCACCTCAAAAGTCCCCCTACCGCCCACCATCCCTTCACCCCACCCACCACCCTGTACCACCAGAACTTCCTGTTCAAGTCACGAGACGAGGGCTCAGCACTGCGAGCCATCGACTTCGGCCTCTCCGACTTCGTGCGGCCGGACCAGAAGCTCAACGACATCGTAGGCTCGGCGTACTACATCGCCCCGGAGGTGCTCCACCGAGCCTACGGCACCGAAGCTGACGTGTGGTCCGTGGGAGTCATAGCCTACATTCTTCTCTCCGGGTCCCGGCCCTTCTGGGCGCGCACGGAGTCGGGCATTTTCCGTGCCGTGCTGCGGCTGGAGCCGAACCTGATTGACGCGCCGTGGCCCGCGGTGTCGCATGCCGGAAGGGACTTTGTGCACCGCCTGCTCACTAAGGACTACCGCCGCCGCCCCACTGCCGCCCAGGCGCTGAGTGAGTGGCAGGCAGACGAGAGCACCCTCCACCACCCCTCTCCCCCAACTCATCCATTCGAACCAATCTGCTCAGCAGCAGAGCAGCCTAAACTCACCTTTCCCACTACCCCACTTCGCGCCCCCCCTCCTCTCCGTCCTTTTCCCCTCAAACCCCACGTCTCCCCTGCGCCCTGTGTGCAGCGCACCCGTGGATCCGCAGCAGCAGTGCGCGCATCCCGTTGGACATCGCCGTGTACAAGAGCCTGCGCGCCTTCTTCTCCTTCTCTCCTCTCCGCCGCGCCGGGCTCAAGGTGAGTGGTGGGGCGAGCAGGGCTCATTTGGGGGTGGTGGGGCGGGCGGGACTCATGGGAGGGTGGTGGACATGGGGAGAGGCTGGGGTTTGGTTGGGAGAGGCTGGGGTTTGGTTGGGAGATGCTGGGGTTTGGTTGGGAGATGCTGCACCCTGTGCCCACCTGTCCTGAGTGGTGGGCGCGGTTTATTTGTTTTGAACATGAAGGAAGACGATTTTTGAGTCATCTATATATCCCTCCCTTCCCTCCCCCTCCTGCATCCCCCCACCCCCTCCTCTCCCCTCCTGTCCCCCTCACCAGGCGTTGGTGCCAACACTGACAGAGGACGAGTTGCTGGTATCTGGACGCCTATGGAATCGCATTTTTTGAAACAACTAAAACCGTATCTTCTCCTTGCTTCTTTTCCCTACCCTCTCTTACCCACCTCCCACCAGGCGTTGGTGCCGACGCTGACGGAGGACGAGTTGGTGTATCTGAGGGCGCAGTTTGGGTACATGGACGTGGACGGGGATGGGCTCATTGACTTCAACGACCTCAAAAACGTGAGTGAGCCTTGACCTGCGTTGACTCTGACATGATGCTGAATCCCGACTCTGTTGACTCTCCAGCTCCTTTGAGCATCCCGACTCACAGTTACCTCTCATCAAAGCACCCCCTCCTCTCGTGTGCCATCCGTGTGGCGGGCGAAATCAATCCAGTAGTCACCTTTCGCCGTCCCCCCCTCCCTCCCTACACCCTCCTCTTTGGTGGCTCACAGGCGATGCAGCGCGTGGCAACAGACGCGATGCGCGAGTCGCACACCATCGACCTGCTCAAGACGGTGAGGGGGGAAGGGGTAGGGAGTGAAGGGATTGGAAGTGGGGTGGGGTGCGGCAAGGGAAGCATCAGGGTGGCCTTTGAGTCTGCTCAAAAGTCGGGGATGCGATGAGGGAGTCACACACCATCCACCTGCTCAAGACGGTGAGAGGGGTGGGCAGTGAGGGTGGGGGTAGGGAGGGAGGAGCGTGGCAGGCTAAAGTCGGTTGCTTCTAGTGTTTCAGCCTCTTCCCTCCTCCCCTCCTCCTCCTTCCCCCCCGTTTCCCCCAACTCACAGCTCAGCTCGACGCCTTCCCTCCACCCCCATTATCCCCCGTCTCTGAGAGTTTCCTCCGATGCGTCCCTTGCCCCTCTCTCCCCACCACCAGCTAGAGCCAGCGCGCATATCCCGGATGCCCTTCACGGACTTCTATGCAGCAGCGCTCAACGTCTCTCCTCATCTTCCCCTTATCCCCTGCCTCTTGGCAATCCTTCCCCACCCCCCTCCACCCACCAGCTAGAGCCAGCGCGCATATCCCGGATGCCCTTCACGGACTTCTATGCAGCAGCGCTCAACGTCTCTCCTCATCTTCCCCTTATCCCCTGCCTCTTGGCAATCCTTCCCCACCCCCCTCCACCCACCAGCTAGAGCCAGCGCGCATATCCCGGATGACCTTCACGGACTTCTATGCAGCAGCGCTCAACGTCTCTCCTCATCTTCCCCTTATCCCCTGCCTCTTGGCAATCCTTCCCCACCCCCCTCCACCCACCAGCTAGAGCCAGCGCGCATATCCCGGATGCCCTTCACGGACTTCTATGCAGCAGCGCTCAACGTCTCTCCTCATCTTCCCCTTATCCCCTGCCTCTTGGCAATCCTTCCCCACCCCCCTCCACCCACCAGCTAGAGCCAGCGCGCATATCCCGGATGCCCTTCACGGACTTCTATGCAGCAGCGCTCAACGTCTCTCCTCATCTTCCCCTTATCCCCTGCCTCTTGGCAATCCTTCCCCACCCCCCTCCACCCACCACCAGCTAGAGCCAGCGCGCATATCTCGAATGCCCTTCACGGACTTCTGTGCGGCGGCGCTCAACGTGTTTCAGCTGGAGGCGCTGCCCAACTGGCCCGAGCGGGCGCGCGTGGCGTACCAGACGTTCGTGAGAGGAGGCAAGGCGCATGTGACCATTGACGAGCTCGTCAAGGTGAGGCGTCTGGCTTGCCTCGCTGCCTCTGCTCCCTTTAGTCGACTGTAAAGTCACCGTCACCACGTGTGACGTACCAGACGTTTGTGCGCGGAGGCAAGGCACACTTCACCATTAACGAGCTTGTGAAGGTGCGTCGGATCTAGAGTCAGTTCTAAAGTCACCGCGTGTGGCTTACCAAATGTTCATGTCACCATCAACGAGCTCGTCGAGGTGAGGGGAGTTTCGGTGCGGATGTTGTAAACCATGTGCTGGGCATTCTTTAACAGATGGCAAGATGCTTCTCGTGACCATCAGAGAGCTCGTCAAGCTGAGGCGTCTGGCTTGCCCCAGTGCCTTGGCTCCCTCTTGAGTCAACTCCAAACTCACCGCATTTTGCATACCTCCCTCTCTGCTGCCCGCTCTCTGCCCCACTCGCTATCATCTCCCACCACAGGAGTTGGGCCAAGTGGAGTCGATGGCCAACGCGGCCCTGCTGGACGAGTGGACCAACTTCGACGGCACCGTCAGCTTCCTGGGCTTCACGCGCCTGGTGCACGGCCCCTCGCGCGCGCGCAAGCAGCGCCACGTGCGCGCCAAGCCCAAGCCCTCCGTGTCCCCCACGTCGTCGGGGAGAGTGAAGCACCCCCCGGGGGGCTCTGAGATGAAACCCATCCCGGAGGATGGCGGGGAGGGGAAGGCAGCACAGGGTAGTGGGGCGATGGGGCAGGGGCAGGCAGGAGTGCATCAGCAGCAGCAGCAGCAGCAAGGGCAGCAACAGCCGGTTCAATACCAAGCCCAGCAGCAGCAACTGCAACAAGAGCAGGTGCAGGCGGATCTGCATTCTTTCAAACCCTACCAGCAGCAGCAGGCGGTGCCACCGCAGGCGAGTGGGGAGGCAGCGGGATTGGATGCCACAGCAGCAGTGGCAGGGCTGGGAATCCCCATGTTCCAGTCCTACTCGCAGCAGCCGCAGCAGCCGCAGCAGCAGCAGCCGCAGCAGCAGCAGCCGCAGCAGCAGCAGCAGCAGCAGCAGCAGCAGCAGCAGCAGCAGCAGCAGCAGCAGCACATGGGGGCATTGGGGGAAGGGGGAAGGTCGAGGGGGAGTGCTTCTGGGGGGAACAGATTAGGGGCGAGCCGACTAGGGGGGAGCGGGTCAAGGGGAGACGCGATGAGTGGGGGTACGGGAGGGAGTGCGAGTGAAGGGATGGATGCGCAAAGAGCAGTGGGGGTGTATGGAGGGGGGGTTGTGGGGAGTAGCAATGGGGAGGGCGAATCGGCGGTGCGGCAAGCGAAGGGTGCGGGATCGATTCCAGACGGCATCATGTCGGCAGAAGAAGCGGTGGCGGCGGGAGGGCTGTGAGGGGGGGAGTGGAGGAGGGTTGTGAGAAGCACTTGTGTGCCGGAGATCCCACAAATCACTTTGTGGAGATTGGATGGAGCTGTGAGCATGCACCACGTGTGCACGCAGTATGTGCATCAATTCTGGAACGCCAACCGGAGACAGTAAGTTAAGGTGCAAGTGCTGCCGCGGCAGCCAGCTAACCAGCAGGCAGACAGGCAGGCAGGCAAGGAGGATTGGGAAGGCACTCTGCTCTACAGAGCACACTAGGCCCTGGTGTCACTCACTACCAAGTGAGGGCTTGAGCCTTGTGGCAAGAGCAATTATGAACTCAATCGAGAGTTATATGGCTGTAAAAGAACACTGTGCATAGAACGTGCAGTGCAGCCTCAGCTTAATCTTGCAGCTTCCAACCCAGTAGTGCAGCAGGCTGTGTGCCATGTGCAGGGGCCATGGATTGTGTCAGACGCTTTTCACACGGATACAAGGCCACTAGTATACTGAAAAAGGTATACGCATACAGGAGCATTTCCTAGCCCAAGCACCATCACACTCCCCTCCTCCAACCCCCACCCCCCCACTCCCCTCAGTTTGAGATGACTTGTCACATTTGCGAAAGGTATGTTAGCGGAGTGACTAAAAACAGAAAGAGAGGTTCAATATTTTGCGGGGACAAGAGGCAATCCCAAAACAACTTGCTTTCTTTTGTTGTGCTTCACGCAACCCTGTTTCATGGTACCGTACAAGGGATGGGGACCAGTGACTTGAGCAATTAGGAATTAAGACTTCTGTTACCTACGGTATGCTACACCCACTCTTGTCTCCTTGCCGAGCACGCTGGGCAGAGTGGCCCTTCAAGGGCACAGTAAGCATGGTGCCATGAGGGGACAAGGAGCAGACATGTTGAAGCCTCACTGCTGCAGCTACAGCACAAAGCCTCACTGGCCGGAGTGGTCTGGATGAAACAGACTTGCTTGTGTGCGGGGCAAGTTGCGTGTCACGGTGAGCTACACTACATGCCACGTAGGCTGCGTGTGACACATAAGCTATGTGTGTCAGTCGGATGTGTGCCACGTGGGCTATGTGCGCACCCAGGTGTTGCGGTAGGAGGAATGGTCCTTGAGTGAGGCGTCGTGCGGCTTGTACTCCTGGTGGCGTCACAGGCAGGGAGGAGGTGAGGGCAGGGAGGAGGTGAGGGCAGGGAGGAGGTGAGGGCAGGGAGGAGGTGAGGGCAGGGAGGAGGTGAGGGCAGGGAGGAGGTGAGGGCAGGGAGGAGGTGAGGGCAGGGAGGAGGTGAGGGCAGGGAGGAGGTGAGGGCAGGGATGAGGCAAGGGCAGGTGAGGACGCGAGGGCACATGGAGACAAGCAGAATGAGGGAGTGGTGGATAGCATGAGGGGGTGATGGATGGCATGAAGGCGAAAGGCATGTCTCACCATGGTGTAGGATGGTGGAAGGTTGAGGTGCTTCCGAATCGACTCACACAGCCTGTCCCGCGCCTGTTGTTACACTCCATGCCATGCCCATGCCATGCCATGCCATGCCATGCCCATGCCATGCCATGCCATGCCATGCCATGCCATGCCATAAATGAGAGAATGGCAATCAACACACCCAATCATAGAAAACAAAGACATTGATTGAACATGTGGTGGTCAACACACCCAATCAACCAAGTAAGGACTCCCACGTGATGTGATGCGACTGTCCTGCACTCCTTAGGCTGATTTAACAGCAAGTGCTGCACCCACCAGGCTGTGCGGTGCAGAGCGGTTCCAGATGGAGAGAATGTCTTCACCGAAGCGCACACTGAGCACCACCCCGCACACCTCCTCGGCGCCCTCCAGCTGCTCCCCCGCCACCGCCATCAACTGAAGGGGGGGAGTTGGAGCGGATGCAAGGGGGGAATGAATTGAAGATTGAATTGAAGATTGAAGGGAAGATTGAAGGGAAGATTGAAGGAAAGATTGAAGGGAAGAGGACCGGGACACAGGTTGGCACACCCACCCCGCACACCTCCTCCACGCCCTCCAGCTGCTCCCCCACCACCGCCATCAGCCGCGGGGTTGATTGGTGGGATGAACGGGAGCAGGACGGAGGCACATGTCATACCAGCTGCTTCCCGTCTGCCTCTCTACCCCTCTGCCTCTCACACCCTCTGTCTCCCCCTCTGCCTCTCACAACCTCTCTCTCTCACCCACTCTGCCTCTCTACCCCTCTGCCTCTCACCCCCAATCCGTGCTCTCCGGCTGCTACCCTTTCTGCTACTGACCATCTGCCCCCTCTCTCTCGAGTTCATCGCTGCCCCTCCTTGCAACAACTCACCAGCTGCTCCCACATGCGCGCAGTGAGCGGCTTTCTCAGGCGCACCATCCACTTGCCCCCCCGCCGGTTGTGCGCGTCCTACAGGGGGGCACGGGGGTTGGGAGGAGGGGACGTATGGATAACGGAAGGAGGAAGGGGGGAGAGGGAAAGGGGGGGTGGACGCACAGAGGGCGAAGAGAGGGGGTAAGCTACAGGTTGCTGCATACGAGAAGAAGGGGCAGAGGTGGAGGAGGGGATCAGCAGGGCGGGCTGGCGCATCTGGGCACAGAGAGGGAAGAGAAGAGGCCAGGAGGCGAAGACCAGGAGAGAGGGTTGAGCGGTGTGGCGGGCGCGCGCTCACCTCCCAGAGCGGGCGGATGCCGTCCTTGAAGACGTGCACGTCCGTGGGGGCAAGAAGTGCAGGGCAGAGGGGATACACTCTGAGCAGTGGCGCGTGGGGGAGGGGAGAAGGGGGGGGCTCACCTCCCAGAGCGGGCGGATGCCGTCTTTGAAGACGTGCACGTCCGTGGGGGCGGGCAGCGCGGATGGGCGCACCATGCGGCAGTAGCACCCCCAGAACCCCTCCACCTGGGCGGGTGGAGAAGGGGGGTGGGGAGACGGGCAATGGGGAGTGAGGGTGGTTGGGCGGTGAAGTGATGTGAGATGAAGGGGAGGAAGGAAGTGACACGCATTCTCGCGAACCCATGCTGCTACAGAGCGAGTTACCACTCTACCCCTTTCCACCATAGAGCCACACCCTGTGTGCCCTACTCCCCCACCACAACAGCCCACAGCCACGCTCACGATGCTCAACTCCCTCATTCGCCCGGAGCGTTCTTCTCGGCCGAATGCTCCCCTACCACCCCACCCCCTACCTCCTCCCCCCTACCTCCCTCCCCCTATCTCTCCCGATTCCTCTTCCCCTCTTCCCCAAACCCCCAACCAGCGACGCACAGTGCTGAAGTCAGCGATGCGGCGGATGCTGTCCTCATACGACGTCGCGCTGCGCTGCCCGGGCGGCTGCCGCTGCCGCCGCGTGTACCACACCACGTAGCGCGTCTGCTTGCAGCGGGGATGGAGGGGTGGACGGATGGAGGTGCTCAATGCAAGAACTCGATTCACTCGGTGAAGCTCTGCAAATGCAGACACCTGTCTAAAATATTTCGATACAGTCACAATGCGGAAGCGCACCTGCAGCGGGTGCAGTCCCAGCTTGACCTCGCGGCTCTGCCGCTCCGCCTCCTCCCACTCGCGCGCACGCCCCTGCTCCCCGCGCGCCTGCTCTTCGTGCGCCCAGCCCCCGCGCTCCTCGCCCTCGTCGTCCCTGCGGGCAGGCGCACGAGGAGCGCGCAAAGGAGAACGCGCAGGGGTTGGGGGGGACGCGCAAAGCCCGCGGACGCTCGGCAGGCGCAGCGGGAACGGCAAGACAGGGAAGGGGACAAGCCAGTGCGGCGGGAAGCGGAGGGAGAGAGGCGGGGCTCGCGTACCTGGAAGATCGGAGGTCTGCCATGTCTAGCGACTCGAATCTTGTCGAGCCGAACGCAGTGAGCAGCGTCTACCGGTTTGTGGGTGTTTGGGGGCTGGGCTTGTATTTAGCCGATATTGACGAGCCCGACATTGCCTCGAGTGTTGATTCGCGTGTGAGCTGGTTCTGTGTAACAGAACATTTTATCTCACTGTTTCGTATAATAAGTTGGCATTTTGAGTTATATGAAGTTTATTCATGCAATCAGGCCAAATTCGGGACATTGAGATTTTTTACTCAGCCCCCCAACCGCTCATAACACCTGATTCTGCCCGTGCTGGAATCTTGTTTCTGGTCTCGAATTTGCCGTATCCTGCTGTTGCGCCCGCACGCACAGAAGCGCGTCACGAGTCACAAACAAGCAGTCCGCCTCGCTCTGCACGTCACGTCCGCTCGCCGCGTCTCCCGCATGCCGCTGCCATGCCTGGCGTCAGCCGCGCACCACTCGGCGTTACTCTACATTCACGCCTGGGGTCGCGAGGTCACGCCTGGGGTCGCGAGGTCACGCCGGAATGGGGATGCAAGAGATCAGTGGGCGGAGCTTTCTCAACGGTTGCGCCGAATGGGGATGTGAGAAGACATTAGTCGACGGAGCTCGCGAGGTGGTCAGTCTCACCGAGCCGATAGGACGAGTAACGCCAACTTCTGCCATCGTCGGTACTTGGGTTCTTCCTTTGTGACGCGGGACGGAACCAGCCTGATAAGTGAAACTCAACGTTCACTGTACGCTGATGCGTCAATCAAGGAACGCTCATAGCGCGCGATGCTGTCAGCTCCCCTCGTTCAGCCATTCATGGCGGCCCATTCTTCGCATCCCGCGAGGCTGCCGCTGCTCCTCATTGTGGCGTCGCTCGCAGCCGTTGTAGTCACCGCGCAGAGCTCCTACAGCATTGCTGACACGCTTCCTCGCTCTGCCTCCACCTCTCCGCCGCCATCCGCCAACCCCTCGCCCTCCGCCTCTCCGCCGCCATCCGCCAACCCCTCGCCCTCCGCCTCTCCGCCGCCATCCGCCAACCCCTCGCCCTCCGCCTCTCCTCCGACCCCTGTCTTTGCGCCTGCGAATACGTCTGCCTCGGCGCCGCGGCTTCTTCCGTCCGCCGCTGGCGGAGACGGGCTGGGCGGCACGGCGGGTGGGAATGGATCCGACAGTCGCAATAACGCGTCGCTCATTAGCGGAATATTGGATGGCGAATATGGCAGGTGAACGCGATGCAATGCGTGTAATTCGATGCTTCCACACCCGGTACTTGAGTGATGTCGTAAGGGGCAGCCATTCCATACCATGCCATGCCATGCCATGCCATGCCATGCCATGCCATGCCATGCCACCACATCCCATGCCCCAATGCCTCCAGGTACCTGCAGGGGGGACTGACGGCGCACGTGTGGGGGCAGCCACTAGTGACATCGCAGCGCAATGCTGCCACCTACCCTGCCATCAACGCGCTGCAGCGGCAAACCAACATCACCACCGCGCAAGACCAGGTGCGCTTCGTATAAGACTCAAACCAGCTGCTAGGCTGGCCTGGTAATTCGGTAACCAAGGGTGCCATGTGCATGGGCTGCGTGCATCACTTCACACTCTTCCCTTCGCCTCTCCTCCCCCTCCTCCCACCTCCCACTCCGCCCAATTTCCCCTTCCTCCCCACTTCCCCTCCCCCTACTTCTTCCCCTTCGTCCCCTCCCCGTCCCCTTGCATCCTTCCACCTACCCAATCCCTCTGCACCGCAGTCCACCATCCCAGTGTCCAACACGGACACGCTCTACGCGTCAGCATGGCTGGACCTCGCCGCGGGCCCTCTACTGCTCTCTCTGCCGCTGGTGCCCCAGCCGCGCTACTACAGCGCGCTGCTGCCCATGGGGCCGGGCCGCTTGCTGTCATGGTGCAGTGGCAGGGGCAGGGGCAGGGGGGAGAGGGGACCGACTTTAGTCAGGCAGGCGCAGCAGGGGGGGGAGGAGGGGGCGGGGGCGGGGGTGGGGGTGGGGGTGGGGGAGGGGGTGGGGGTGAGAGCGGGGGAGGGGGTGGGGGAGGGGGAGGGGGTGGGGGCGGGGGAGGGAGTGGGGGTGGGGGTGGGGGAGGGGGAGGGGGTGGGGGAGGGGGAGGGGGAGGGGGAGGGGGAGGGGGAGGGGGAGGGGGGAGGGGGAGAGGAGAAGGCCTCGAGCAGCAGCGACACAGTATTGAGTGTGAGCAGCAGGACTCGCAATGTGTTTGTGATCGTGCGCGTGCTGGTGGCGGGGCCTGATGACGTGGCAGCTGCCAGAAACCTGCTGAGGTAAACGGCCAGGTGCTGACATGACCAAACACCCGTCACCCATCACGTACCACCCATCGCCCATCGCCCACCTCTCAGGTCACTCTGCTATCGACCCTGCCTCCCTCCTCACCCCCTCCTCCCTGTGCCTCCCTTCTGCTCCCTACCCCGCTCATTCCGCTTTTCCTCCCCTCCCCATCCCCCCTTCCCAGCAACGTCACTCTTACGCGCCCAACCACCAACGCCCCCCCCACCCCCCTGCCGCCGCCCGACCTCTCTGAGCTGGCGGGGCTGCCAGATGGCATGCAGCGATTGGTGCTCATCGACCGCACACTACAGGACAACCCGCCCGCCCAGGACCAGGCTAACCTCGAGTGAGTCACAATCCCGTGTTGCGCCCTCATTATACCCACATGCTTGCCTAACTCCCTATAATTGTCACACGCCCATGTGATGACGTCATTTTAACTCTCCATGCACCCCCTCTTCCCATCCTCCTGCCCCTTCACCCCTCTCTTCCTCTTGTTCCGTTCTGCCTCCCCCTGTCTCCTCCCTTCCCTCCTCCCCCACAGGGCACTCAGCCAGCTGGCAGGCATAGGCATCTCCCCCTCCGCGCCGCCCTTCTCCCCCGCCGCCCTCTCGCCGCTGCAGAGCACCGCGCTCGCGCAGGCGTACGCACTGGCGAATGTGACAATAAGGGGCGCGTACGCGCTCATGCTGCTGGGGGTGAACCGCTCTGTTGTCGTCAACCGCTGGCTCGCTGACACGTCGCTGGGCTAGTGCGTTGGGGGGGGGATGAGTGGGTAGTTGGTTGGGGCGGGTGAATGAGGGCGGGAGTGATTACATGCGCAGGCAACAGCACTGTGGGCTGTCAATTGGTTTCCCCACGCACACAATGCTGCATTGCATAACCTAGCTCTCCCCTTCTCCCTGTTTTCTCTTGCTTCTCACCCTCGCCCTCTCCATCTCTCTCTTTCCCTTTTCCTCCGCCCCTCTCCTCCTACCATCAGCTACGGCGATCGCTTTCTGTTCAGAGCGGCCTTCTCATCCACAGGGGGTCTGGGAGCGCTGCCCGCATCCGAATCGCTCTACTTCTTCACCTGGCAGGGGCCCTTTGGCCTGCGCTACGACGGCTCCTCCGCCAACTACTCGCTGCACCTCTCTCCACCGCCCGTCACCGCGTGCGGCTTCTGGTCGCTCACAGTGTACAACGCGGACGGGTTCCTCCCCCCAGGCATGTGGCGGAACAGCATCGGGGATCGCACCAAGGGGTTGGTGTTCAATCCGGACGGCACACTCACTGTTCCCATCCAGCTGGCCGCGCCGGCCAATGCGAGCCTGGGGGCCAACTGGCTGCCGACACCGAATGCAACGTTTTCGGTGGCGCTGCGGGTGTACTGTCCCTCGGAGAGTGTGCTGAATGGGGAGTGGCGGCCTGAGGCCGTGCAGGTGGTGTGAACTTGAGGAGGAGCGTGGCTTGTCAAGTTGATGATGACTATTGAGCTAGGTAGTACTTGGATCCTAGCCTCACAGCCTGCCAGCTAGAGATTTCGTACAGGGAAAAGGATTGTACCGGTACTAGAGTATACTACAGGGGAATGCTTTGTGTTGAAGTGATTCTCCAATATGTAACGCGCGCATCTTGAGATGTCCCAAAACTTGCCCTTCTTGACTGCAGTACCCGGCACAACTGCCACCCGCACAACCGCATCCCAGCAGCATGCCCAGGCAGGCAATGGCAACAGCAGCATACAGCATCTTACAGCCCGCATCTGAGAGTGGTTGAGGCGCATCAGAAGATGATAGGCCGTAGTGAAGGCTTTTGAGCGGATTCAATGATGATCCAAGACGTGAGAGGCCACACTGGCCTGGCGGGCGAGTCACACTGAAAGGTCCAGGATTGCCTGCAGGCGCACGGCGAGGGCGAGCAGCTCCTCGTCCCACCCCCTGGGCGCCACTAGCCCCAGCCCCAGGGGGCTCCCCTGCAGCGTTGTCAGCGGCACCGTCACCTGGGGAAGCAGAGGGTAGCGCAGAGGAGGGGAGAGGCAGGGGACAGGGGGGAGGACGAGAAAGAGGGAGATGTGGGGTGAGGAGAAAAGGGGACAGGGAATACACATGGGTGTGAGAAGAGAGAAAGATAAGAGGGGCCATCAGTCTGATAGGCTGAAGGAGAGGGTATCAGGATTCAGGACACATGGGGCCATCAGTCTGATAGGCTGAAGGAGAGGGTATCAGGATTCAGGACACATGGGGCCATCAGTCTGATAGGCTGAAGGAGAGGGTATCAGGATTCAGGACACATGGGGCCATCAGTCTGATAGGCTGAAGGAGAGGGTATCAGGATTCAGGACACATGGGGCCATCAGTCTGATAGGCTGAAGGAGAGGGTATCAGGATTCAGGACACATGGGGCCATCAGTCTGAGAGGCTGAAGGAGAGGGTATCAGGATTCAGGACACATGGGGCCATCAGTCTGATAGGCTGAAGGAGAGGGTATCAGGATTCAGGACACATGGGGCCATCAGTCTGAGAGGCTGAAGGAGAGGGTATCAGGATTCAGGACACATGGGGCCATCAGTCTGATAGGCTGAAGGAGAGGGTATCAGGATTCAGGACACATGGGGCCATCAGTCTGAGAGGCTGAAGGAGAGGGTATCAGGATTCAGGACACATGGGGCCATCAGTCTGATAGGCTGAAGGAGAGGGTATCAGGATTCAGGACACATGGGGCCATCAGTCTGATAGGCTGAAGGAGAGGGTATCAGGATTCAGGACACATGGGGCCATCAGTCTGATAGGCTGAAGGAGAGGGTATCAGGATTCAGGACACATGGGGCCATCAGTCTGATAGGCTGAAGGAGAGGGTATCAGGATTCAGGACACATGGGGCCATCAGTCTGAGAGGCTGAAGGAGAGGGTATCAGGATTCAGGACACATGGGGCCATCAGTCTGATAGGCTGAAGGAGAGGGTATCAGGATTCAGGACACATGGGGCCATCAGTCTGATAGGCTGAAGGAGAGGGTATCAGGATTCAGGACACATGGGGCCATCAGTCTGATAGGCTGAAGGAGAGGGTATCAGGATTCAGGACACATGGGGCCATCAGTCTGATAGGCTGAAGGAGAGGGTATCAGGATTCAGGACACATGGGGCCATCAGTCTGATAGGCTGAAGGAGAGGGTATCAGGATTCAGGACACATGGGGCCATCAGTCTGATAGGCTGAAGGAGAGGGTATCAGGATTCAGGACACATGGGGCCATCAGTCTGATAGGCTGAAGGAGAGGGTATCAGGATTCAGGACACATGGGGCCATCAGTCTGATAGGCTGAAGGAGAGGGTATCAGGATTCAGGACACATGGGGCCATCAGTCTGATAGGCTGAAGGAGAGGGTATCAGGATTCAGGACACATGGGGCCATCAGTCTGATAGGCTGAAGGAGAGGGTATCAGGATTCAGGACACATGGGGCCATCAGTCTGATAGGCTGAAGGAGAGGGTATCAGGATTCAGGACACATGGGGCCATCAGTCTGATAGGCTGAAGGAGAGGGTATCAGGATTCAGGACACATGGGGCCATCAGTCTGATAGGCTGAAGGAGAGGGTATCAGGATTCAGGACACATGGGGCCATCAGTCTGATAGGCTGAAGGAGAGGGTATCAGGATTCAGGACACATGGGGCCATCAGTCTGATAGGCTGAAGGAGAGGGTATCAGGATTCAGGACACATGGGGCCATCAGTCTGATAGGCTGAAGGAGAGGGTATCAGGATTCAGGACACATGGGGCCATCAGTCTGAGAGGCTGAAGGAGAGGGTATCAGGATTCAGGACACATGGGGCCATCAGTCTGATAGGCTGAAGGAGAGGGTATCAGGATTCAGGACACATGGGGCCATCAGTCTGATAGGCTGAAGGAGAGGGTATCAGGATTCAGGACACATGGGGCCATCAGTCTGATAGGCTGAAGGAGAGGGTATCAGGATTCAGGACACATGGGGCCATCAGTCTGATAGGCTGAAGGAGAGGGTATCAGGATTCAGGACACATGGGGCCATCAGTCTGATAGGCTGAAGGAGAGGGTATCAGGATTCAGGACACATGGGGCCATCAGTCTGATAGGCTGAAGGAGAGGGTATCAGGATTCAGGACACATGGGGCCATCAGTCTGATAGGCTGAAGGAGAGGGTATCAGGATTCAGGACACATGGGGCCATCAGTCTGATAGGCTGAAGGAGAGGGTATCAGGATTCAGGACACATGGGGCCATCAGTCTGATAGGCTGAAGGAGAGGGTATCAGGATTCAGGACACATGGGGCCATCAGTCTGATAGGCTGAAGGAGAGGGTATCAGGATTCAGGACACATGGGGCCATCAGTCTGATAGGCTGAAGGAGAGGGTATCAGGATTCAGGACACATGGGGCCATCAGTCTGATAGGCTGAAGGAGAGGGTATCAGGATTCAGGACACATGGGGCCATCAGTCTGATAGGCTGAAGGAGAGGGTATCAGGATTCAGGACACATGGGGCCATCAGTCTGATAGGCTGAAGGAGAGGGTATCAGGATTCAGGACACATGGGGCCATCAGTCTGATAGGCTGAAGGAGAGGGTATCAGGATTCAGGACACATGGGGCCATCAGTCTGAGAGGCTGAAGGAGAGGGTATCAGGATTCAGGACACATGGGGCCATCAGTCTGATAGGCTGAAGGAGAGGGTATCAGGATTCAGGACACATGGGGCCATCAGTCTGATAGGCTGAAGGAGAGGGTATCAGGATTCAGGACACATGGGGCCATCAGTCTGATAGGCTGAAGGAGAGGGTATCAGGATTCAGGACACATGGGGCCATCAGTCTGATAGGCTGAAGGAGAGGGTATCAGGATTCAGGACACATGGGGCCATCAGTCTGATAGGCTGAAGGAGAGGGTATCAGGATTCAGGACACATGGGGCCATCAGTCTGATAGGCTGAAGGAGAGGGTATCAGGATTCAGGACACATGGGGCCATCAGTCTGATAGGCTGAAGGAGAGGGTATCAGGATTCAGGACACATGGGGCCATCAGTCTGAGAGGCTGAAGGAGAGGGTATCAGGATTCAGGACACATGGGGCCATCAGTCTGATAGGCTGAAGGAGAGGGTATCAGGATTCAGGACACATGGGGCCATCAGTCTGATAGGCTGAAGGAGAGGGTATCAGGATTCAGGACACATGGGGCCATCAGTCTGATAGGCTGAAGGAGAGGGTATCAGGATTCAGGACACATGGGGCCATCAGTCTGATAGGCTGAAGGAGAGGGTATCAGGATTCAGGACACATGGGGCCATCAGTCTGATAGGCTGAAGGAGAGGGTATCAGGATTCAGGACACATGGGGCCATCAGTCTGATAGGCTGAAGGAGAGGGTATCAGGATTCAGGACACATGGGGCCATCAGTCTGATAGGCTGAAGGAGAGGGTATCAGGATTCAGGACACATGGGGCCATCAGTCTGATAGGCTGAAGGAGAGGGTATCAGGATTCAGGACACATGGGGCCATCAGTCTGATAGGCTGAAGGAGAGGGTATCAGGATTCAGGACACATGGGGCCATCAGTCTGATAGGCTGAAGGAGAGGGTATCAGGATTCAGGACACATGGGGCCATCAGTCTGATAGGCTGAAGGAGAGGGTATCAGGATTCAGGACACATGGGGCCATCAGTCTGATAGGCTGAAGGAGAGGGTATCAGGATTCAGGACACATGGGGCCATCAGTCTGAGAGGCTGAAGGAGAGGGTATCAGGATTCAGGACACATGGGGCCATCAGTCTGATAGGCTGAAGGAGAGGGTATCAGGATTCAGGACACATGGGGCCATCAGTCTGATAGGCTGAAGGAGAGGGTATCAGGATTCAGGACACATGGGGCCATCAGTCTGATAGGCTGAAGGAGAGGGTATCAGGATTCAGGACACATGGGGCCATCAGTCTGATAGGCTGAAGGAGAGGGTATCAGGATTCAGGACACATGGGGCCATCAGTCTGATAGGCTGAAGGAGAGGGTATCAGGATTCAGGACACATGGGGCCATCAGTCTGATAGGCTGAAGGAGAGGGTATCAGGATTCAGGACACATGGGGCCATCAGTCTGATAGGCTGAAGGAGAGGGTATCAGGATTCAGGACACATGGGGCCATCAGTCTGATAGGCTGAAGGAGAGGGTATCAGGATTCAGGACACATGGGGCCATCAGTCTGATAGGCTGAAGGAGAGGGTATCAGGATTCAGGACACATGGGGCCATCAGTCTGATAGGCTGAAGGAGAGGGTATCAGGATTCAGGACACATGGGGCCATCAGTCTGATAGGCTGAAGGAGAGGGTATCAGGATTCAGGACACATGGGGCCATCAGTCTGATAGGCTGAAGGAGAGGGTATCAGGATTCAGGACACATGGGGCCATCAGTCTGATAGGCT